CTATGATCTTCTTAAATTTGAGTCAATATTATTAACTTATGAATTATAATAACAATTATAAGATTTTATCATTTTAGTTTAAAATATATACATTAAATAAATTCAATAAATAACATAATTAATTAATCATATCTTCTCAAAACTAAAATTATTTTTAATTGATAATATAAAATTTAAAATTTCCTTATAAATTAATATTTTAGAACAATAAAGTATATAATAAAAAGATAATATATTTTATATTTAAATTATTCTATTATATTTCAATTCTAAAATAACTTTTATATATTTAAAAATAATTCTTTGGTTGTTTCAATATTTTCTAAATGATGTTCAACTTAGGATTCAATAATACCAGCAAATGTAGATTCATATTCTTTTAGTTTAACTTCTCCATCTTCTAAAACTAAGTTTGGTTGAATTTCCAATCTTCTTGGTATCTTATTTTAAATAATAATATTTCTATAATGTAGGAATTAATCATTAACAATAGCCAAATTACTAAAAAATTATATACCTTCATTTCCAGCTCCAATTGACTTATATACTTATAAATGCAATATTAAATTAGAAATAGCTTTCTTACCTGTTGTGTATAATTTTGATTAATCAAATTTAAATAGTATATATGGTTTACCATTTTACTAAGTTTCTGTTATTTTAATTATATCTGAATCTTCTTTAATTAAAGATTATAAGATAACATTTCTAGCTAATACATGTGCTTAACCCCATTTTTTTTATTCTGGATTATAAAATTCTAATCCTTAAACAGCTCTATGAATAATAAAAAGCCAACCTGCAAAAACAGTGTTTCTTCTTTCTTCTTCTGATTAATTTGGTAAAAGCAATTTTACAACATCATCATAAGTAGATAAATATAATGCAGTAGCATCAGCTTTACATTCTTCCATAGCTCCAGAGAATTCACCAAATTTAGAATGCCATTATTCACCATAATTATAGAATGAATCAATTTTTTTATTAGTTAATGGATTAATTGTTTTTTCAATATTGAAATTTAAATTACCATCTTTATCTTTCATGAATACCTTACCAGCACCATGACCAATTAATTCATGAAGTGCAACAATCAAAAATATAGCTTCTTATTAATATTTATAAAATATCTCTTAATCAATTTCATCTAAGAATTTTATAGATTCTTTTGATAATTTTCCTATTGTATTACCCAAATTAACATTCTTAAATCCTTCATTTTATCTAATATCATCATAATTAGGTATGTTAATGCCTAAAGGTGTACCAGAACTTGCAAAAGCCAAAACTTCTAATGATGTAAAATCAGGTCGTTTATAGATATCAACTTCAAATTCTTTTGGCCAAGGTAAATACTTAATAATATCTTCAGCTTTATTGACTAATTCATTTAAGAGAGAACTTTCTTCTTTATTAACTACAGCTACAAAACCTTCCCATTCAGCACGAACTTTAAGTGGATCTAAATAAGTCTCAATGAATCCTATATTTGTTTCAATAACAGGTCCTTTATCCTTGATCCAATGTCTCTATGATTATTTATGTTATTCAACATCTCCACTATTGAAATGATCAATGTAAGCTTATATCATATTCTTTTGATTATCATTTGCTGCATATTAAAGAGCAGCTGTCAAATGATTCACAACACTATTAAGAAAAGGAGAATAATCACCATATATCAATTTAATTTTATGGTTATGTACTTCTCCTAAATCTTTCTCACCTTTATTAACTGAAGCTACTAAAACATGAATTTCATCTTCAACTTTAACAACTCTTGTGTTCAATTCAGAAATACCTTAGACAATCAAGAATTTATCAACAGCCTCCAACAATTCTCCTTTTAAATTATTACTATAATAAGAATTTGAACCATTCTTTTCTTATAAATCAATTAAACCATAAGGTTTATCATAATTATATATATATTTACTAATACTTTACCAAACTTAATCAACTTAATAACCTTATGATGTTTTAATAAATTGTTCAAATTTTTCATAACTAATTTCAGGTATGAATTTTGAATCTCCAAAAATTTTAAAATTACCAGAATTTTAAAATACAGCAGCAATATAAACAAATAATTATTCAACCTCTTCTTCCCTCCATCCATTCTATAATAAACGTTATTTCACAACTAAAGGTTTTTCTTTTGAAAATATCTTATGAAAAATGTAAAATAATCCTGGTGATTCATAAGATCTCTAAAAGTAACAGATTCTTGCTCCTTCCCAAGCAGCTCTAGCAAAATGATAGGCATATTGTTTTTCATTTTAAGTAAGCACCTAATGTGATCTTTTTATTTTTCATACTTTAAAACCTTTACTAACAAATGATGTAACAGGGGAATTAACTTAAATCACTGGAACTTGATTTGTATTTTAATTGTTCTATTTTGATTTCTCTACTATAGAATTATAATTTTTTCCTACAAATGATAATANCCTTTATCCTTGATCCAATGTCTCTATGATTATTTATGTTATTCAACATCTCCACTATTGAAATGATCAATGTAAGCTTATATCATATTCTTTTGATTATCATTTGCTGCATATTAAAGAGCAGCTGTCAAATGATTCACAACACTATTAAGAAAAGGAGAATAATCACCATATATCAATTTAATTTTATGGTTATGTACTTCTCCTAAATCTTTCTCACCTTTATTAACTGAAGCTACTAAAACATGAATTTCATCTTCAACTTTAACAACTCTTGTGTTCAATTCAGAAATACCTTAGACAATCAAGAATTTATCAACAGCCTCCAACAATTCTCCTTTTAAATTATTACTATAATAAGAATTTGAACCATTCTTTTCTTATAAATCAATTAAACCATAAGGTTTATCATAATTATATATATATTTACTAATACTTTACCAAACTTAATCAACTTAATAACCTTATGATGTTTTAATAAATTGTTCAAATTTTTCATAACTAATTTCAGGTATGAATTTTGAATCTCCAAAAATTTTAAAATTACCAGAATTTTAAAATACAGCAGCAATATAAACAAATAATTATTCAACCTCTTCTTCCCTCCATCCATTCTATAATAAACGTTATTTCACAACTAAAGGTTTTTCTTTTGAAAATATCTTATGAAAAATGTAAAATAATCCTGGTGATTCATAAGATCTCTAAAAGTAACAGATTCTTGCTCCTTCCCAAGCAGCTCTAGCAAAATGATAGGCATATTGTTTTTCATTTTAAGTAAGCACCTAATGTGATCTTTTTATTTTTCATACTTTAAAACCTTTACTAACAAATGATGTAACAGGGGAATTAACTTAAATCACTGGAACTTGATTTGTATTTTAATTGTTCTATTTTGATTTCTCTACTATAGAATTATAATTTTTTCCTACAAATGATAATATAATCACTTCGAAATACAATTATAATTTAGATCAATTTTATATATAATAATTTAAATCATATTTTTTAATGGTGAATATAAAATAAATAAAAATAATATAATATAATATAAATATCAGAAACTAATGATTTTTCTTTTAGTAGTTATTACAAACAGGAGACAAATTGATAATATGGCTTATATACTTATTATTTTATTTAATATCATCACTATTGAGTAATATTTGTATTAAAGTGATCAATAATTATGCTTTTCACTTTTGGATATTTATTGATGCAGGCTTAAAATTAACATTACTTGATTTGATAGGAGTAATTAAGTTAAATAAAAAGAAAAGAGGAATGAATTTGCTTAGAAGATTAAGCCTATATTTATAAAATTTAATTAAAAAAATTTTAAATAAAAAAATTAAAATATCATTACAATATAGATTATGACTTAAGGTTATAAATAACATTATAATAAAATCAATTAGGATGTACAATTTTTTCAATGATTTATGATTCATCTATCTTAAAACAGTCAACTTCTTCTTCTTCTATTTTTGTACTTTCAATTTCATTTGAATTATCCCTATTTTCATTATAATAATAATATATACTTCTCATCTAAATTATCTAATTCAGGCATTAATCTTAATGTATTTTTCTTACATTTTAATTCATCAGGGACAATTCCTGTATGAAGTACAGTTACATTAAAAGTTCTATTAGCAAATAATTTATCAAATGATTTAATTTCATAGGTATTATCATAAAATTATTTCTCTTCTAAAAGTGTTGGTTAAACTAAGAATATATGATCAGTTATATTTTAGGAAGCCAAATAGAATAATAAGCCTTGAGACTTATCTTAAAAGGCAACATAGGATTTTTTGATTAATGTCCCATCAAGTAATGTTTTCTCTATAAAGGTCTAAAACTCTTTAAAAGCAAGATGTAATTCTTCATTATTTAATAAGTAGTAATCTTCAAATTTAACTATTGTGTAATTAAGGGATAGGTATGGTTCCAATTTAAATAGTTCAACATCAGAAACATACAATAATCCAGTAGAATGTTCAGAATGAATCAAAATATAAGGTATTTCAAAGTAAGAATAAGTGTTAGTTTTAGGTTTATAGATGTTTGAGATAATAGTATTATTCTTAGATGTACAAAATTAGCCATTTGATTCTTTGCATTCTTCAATACAAATTCCTTAAAGGGAAAGATAATAAGTTGATTCACAAATCATACAAGAAGATGACTTTTCAACACTTAAATTACACCCAATAGGATTAGGTTCACAACCTTATTTTGTCCAATGATATAATCTATTACATCCAAATGTAGTTTAGGTAGCAAATTCAGAATGAATGGAAATAGGTTATTCATATGTAAAGTAGAAATAAAATAAGCCTAGAAAGAAACAAATGATTGCAATATAGAGAGACTTCTTTGTTGGCTAATCTTTTTATTTACGATTTTGTAATCCTGTTGTTTCTAAGCCTGGTCTCATATAATTATCATCATCATCTAAGTCATCTAAATTTATAGAATGAATACCTGGTCCTTCTACTTCCAATGGACCACGAAATTAAATAGATTCTGTCATTAATTTATTTAATGTCAAATCAATAGCAACTGAAGGAAGAGTTACAGTTGTGTCGGTCTTAATTGAGCAAATTAAGTGTAGAGAGAGATTAGGTATTGATCATATTGTCTAAATAGACAGTGTTTGAATTAAATAAAGTGATTAGATTAGTAGAAAGATTACAGATTCAAATAACAGAGAAGGATGCTGAGATATTAATGCTTCATACATAATTGGACGAGTAAGAAATATATCATTAATAATAATTGGAATAAGTTAAGTAAGTAATCTGTAAGATGAAATACAAGATCACATTATGAGTATCTCAAGGAAAGTGCAATTGCTAGACTTAAGTCTGAAATGAGTTTAGATTCTGACAGTATGATCAAAGAACTCCGAGAGACAAAGCAAATGTATCAAGAGATCTTAGAAATCGAAGCTAAAAGAAAATCTTCTTATTCTTAAGATGACACTCGTTGTTAATCCATCAATGATTACTAGAAACTATATACAGAGAAATAAGAACTATAATAATTGGTTGAAAAGTTATAGAAGATGTAAGTTAGTTAGAAAAGTGATTAATCTGATGAACTTATGTAAGAGATACAATATTTACGTGATCAACTGTAGAAATTGTATAACTTTATCTTTTTATATAGAACTTCTGAATTGGAGACTGCCAAATAGACCATAAATGTACTACAAGTTCAAGTTCTCAAACAATAAGATTTATTGAAGGAATACTGCACTAACGATTTTCAGGGGTGATTAATCTGAAATAATTTTCCCATTTCTATTATATAATTTCATTTGAGATTATGAATCATAATATATTTTATAAAGGAACTTTGTTCGTTAAATAAATATATCAAGAGATAAATTGAAGAAATAAAATCAAAAGACATATTGTTTAATCTTCCAAAGTCGAATTTTAATTCCGATCTCAGAATTCTTTTCTTTGAATTAATATATTCTAACAAGAATTGAAATAATAATTTATTATAAAACTAGAAGATTATCTCTTACAGAACTATATCTATTTATTAATGGAATAAAAAATCAAAAGTTGTAGCAAAATTTAAATTATTATTATCTTTTATTTAAGCATAAATTAATATCATAATACTTATTTTCTAATTCTTATTACTAATGATTTTGAAAATAGATTTGAAGGTTTTTATTTTATAAAGATTCAAAATCATATATCTTAAGAAAAGTTATAATTTTCTATCAATTTGTTGAAATTATTGGAAAATATATTAAAAGAAAATGTTAATGAAAAAAAATTACCCTTATTAATATAAGAAAAATTAATTGAGTACAACAATCATTATTTGTGTTTAATTTTATTTTTAATAATTATTCATATTCTAATTAAATATATTACAAATAGAAGAATTGAACTATTTTTTTTGAATAAAATGTGATCTTAGGTAATATCAAATAAGTTATAATTAATAGATTATAGATAATAATGTTTCTTAAATTTATTGATAATTACTAAATTAAGTTTAATCATAAATATCATCAATTTATTTGATTTCCTTCTACTATTTCTTTTGAATGTACAAAATTCAGAAATTATTTTTATTCTGATCTCATACTTAAAAATCCTTTAAAGTTTTTTTTCATTCTATGTTTATTTGAGACTGGTTAAATTTCTGTTAAATTGTGTTTTTTAGGTTAAAATTTGTTTTATACATTTCTGTATTATGCTTAAATTATTTGCTATATTTCTTTAGCTTTCTTAGAGGGATTGTCAGCTTTATATGCTTATTAATACATTAAAGATAACATGAAATTATCTTTTGGAACACGAGGTAATTTGCTTATGGATTCTAAAACTGAGTTTATAGATTAAGGTTAAGGTTTAATTAAATGTAAAGATGGATGTAAAGATGGAAGTGATACCATTTATTAGCTGTCTCTTTTTGTTATGACAGATGATCTATTTGAACTTAATTTAAGATCAATACTATTTTCATTTAATGGATTTGTTGTAGAATTATTATCATGGTTAATACTTAAATTTAAAGGCTATTTTTTTTGAATTTGATTTCTTATACATGAAGAATCTGTATCACAAAAAGCCAATTAAGGTTTTTTCAATAACTTAGCTTAGTATTATTGAAGAGTATTACTATACACTCTTTACAAAAGATACTAACTATCATTACTAAATTATTTTAAATCCTTAAAATTTGAATCAGCCAAATTCTAAAATATTTTAATTTAACTTAATTTTTAACCTTATGATTCCATAACTTTCTTATTTAAAATAGAATTTGCTAATAAATTAGGTTTATTTGAATTATCATTTTAAGCAGCTTCATAGACCTATTATATATTTAGTTTTTATACCTCATCTCTTAGATTAATAGATTTTTACACATTATTACATATCAATTACCAATGCTTATATATAATAGATGAGTGTTTTTTCATATTTTCATAAGTTCCATAATTACCTAAATTATCAAAAAACCTTCTTTTTCTGATTCTATAACAATTAAGTCTTGGTGATATCACTTTGGCTTATGTATATCTATTTATCTTCATCATAATCTCAACTTCTCCAAAACATTAAAATTCTCCATAAGATGATAAAATTATAGATTTCTTTCTAACTTATTTTAACAATTCAATTTCACCATTGATTATAAAATAAATATATTTAGTTTTCTCTCCTTCATTATATATTATTTCTCCTGCCTTCATTGTAATCAATTTGTTTTCCAAAACTATACCCATATAATCTTCTGGATTAATATTTTTTAAAAGTGGGGTTTATCCAAAGTATTTCATTTTTTTATCTAAAGCAACACTTAAATATGGATTTAAATATTCGAGATAAGCACTTTCATTTAAATATAATAAGTGAGTATCTTCTAATGTAAAAACTGTAGATGATCTTGTAGTATCTAATTTAATGGCTGCCTCTCCAAAAGAGCTAATATATTATTAACATATACTTACTCTCCTTAAAATAAGATTTTAAGTATAATGTAATCTGGAAAGAGAATTTTCAATCCAAATGGATCATCTTCATTTTTCTTTTGATTTTTTTATTCTAAATTATTATCAATTTCAATTTTACTGGACCCTACCATCTTTAATTTAGGTTTCATTACTACTACTTTACCTTCTAATATAATATAAAATCTTTTATTTTAATCTCCTTAACGATATACTGGATTTAAGGCTGGTACAAATTCATATCTTAAATAATTTTATGTTAAATTACCTAAATTCAGAGTAAATTCTTCCCATTAATTCTGGAGGTACTTCTGATCGTATCTCTTTTATTTTATTCAAATTTCCTAATTAATCAATTAAAATTGGAGAAGTTGGAATTATAAGATCATTAAGAGAACGAACACTTTTTATTTTAGAAATACTTTTCTTTTAAATTGAATTTAATTGCTTTTCAATATTTGGTCTACTTCTCAATTCTTCCTTAACTAAGTCTATATCAATTAATTTCTTAAATTTCTTGTGTTCTTTTTAATGATTATGAACTTATTATAATTTCTATTTTTATTCTTCATTATCTGAATCAGAATCAACCTAATTCTACAAAAATTCAAAATTTGGTTTTGCAGATATTGTAAATGTTGATTATAAAAAAGAAGTCATATGCTAGACCTATTATAATTATTTTTAGTATAATATTATTTATAGATTTAAAATGTACTATTCATCTGTTAAATAACTTTAAAAAATACATATTTTAAATCAAAATGTAATTATTCTTAAGAGATATTATTTGATAATTTAAATTGAATTTTCTAATTATTGTCTCATATTTTGCCCATTTTTATTAAAAATTATAATAAACAGTATAATATTAATTAATAAATAAAAAATAAAAAATAAAAAAGGGTTGTCAACACGAGGACTTCCCAAGCGGTCCCCCACCTTAGTACTAACCTCGCCTTAAGCCGCTTAACTTCGGAGTTCGAATGGGATCCGGTGCTTTAGGCTTAGTATGGCCGACAACGATATTTACTATCCACTTCTCTATTTATACATGGGGGTTTATTATAGTTTAATATGAAATAATAAAATGAATAATATAAACATTTTCAATAACTTAATCTCTACTTTGTGCAAATATAGGAATATGTTTGAATACATGAAATGATATCAAGTTCCAAACTTACATTAATAATTTGAAGTTTGTACTAATTTTTTCTTTAATTTTATTAGGCGGGCTGTGGGTTTGAATAATAACTCTGAATTGTCAAAAATGAATTCTGTTAGCTATTTATAGTTTGATATAATACTCTAGATCATGTATAGGAGATAATCTATAAATTATCTCAAATATTTTTGTGAATGAGAATTTTTCCATCTTCTTAGAAGGTGTTCAATTTAACAATAACCAAATTATAGAAGTACTTTGGAAGATTTTAAACAATTTATGTAGAAATTCAACCCTGTAAATATTGAAAAAAATAACTTATATTTTTCTTGTATATGATTAAACTATTAATGTTATTACAGAAGAGAAATAATGAACATTAAATTTTATTGATAAATGACATATTCTGATATAAAAGAGTTAAATTTACAACATTATTTCAATACTCATAGATCCAATATATTTTAGAATAATGTAAATAATTAAATTTTATTCAAATACATTGGATATTTTAGATATCACTTATATATTGTTATAAATATCTGCTTTATCCTATATGTATTTGATTTAATTATTTATTTATATTGACATAAATTCATTATAATTTTTTTTATAGATAGTAACACAATGACTTGATATCATATTTTTATAGATATTCACTGTTCACCCATCGATTTTTAGGAATTATACCTAATATATTTAATTAAAGAATACCATTAGATCGCTTTTGCCATAATAAATAATACATTTTGATGCCTGTTTATTTGATCTATGCAGCCTATCCTATTTTATCCAATTGATCTCCATATTCAAATCCTCCTTCATTAGGTAATTTAACCTCAGTATTCTTTTGAGATAATTCAGAAATAGAATCCTAGATATTCTCAGAATCCTGTTATTAATTTGATTGTTATGGTTTCTTTTCTTAAGGAAGAGTCTATATCAACTATATAATCTCTTCTTACTATTTTTTTACTTGGTTTAATTCTTGTTTTAATAAACTCACTTAATCTTATAGTTTCTTAATTTATTCTTATTATTATTGCAATACAGATTATTTTTATTGACTTGGNAAAAAAGGGTTGTCAACACGAGGACTTCCCAAGCGGTCCCCCACCTTAGTACTAACCTCGCCTTAAGCCGCTTAACTTCGGAGTTCGAATGGGATCCGGTGCTTTAGGCTTAGTATGGCCGACAACGATATTTACTATAACCTATATCTTTTATACTCAAGGTTTATCATTCATTATACTATTTATAAAACAAATAATAAAAAAATTTACAAAACTTTAATTCAATTAATATATGAAATTGAGAAGAATTCAATATTTTTTTTCTGACTTTCGAATTGGACAATTATTTAAATTAGAAAGAATATTTACAGAAGAAGATGTCAAAATTTATGCCAATTTAATCAAAGATTTTAATCCAATTCATATTGATGAATATGCTGCATCCTAGTCAATTTTTAAACATAGAGTTGTACATGGAATGCTGTCTTCTAGCCTTTTTTCTACATTAGTAGGTACAAATTTTCCTGGGGCCATTTATCTAGATTAATCAATATTTTTTAAAGCCCCCATTTTTATTGATGAATAAGTAATAGCTTAAGTTCTAATACAAGATATCAAACTAAAAAAAGGAAGATCAATTTTGAAATTGAATACTACTATTTCCAAAATGGATTAGAAAATCGCTGTAACTGGAGAAGCAAAAATTTTAATTAATTGATTTAATTATTTCTATTTCTATAAGTAAAAAGTCAATAATAACCTATCCTTTCAAATAATAAAAATATTTAATTTTCAATAAAGAACCATTTTACTTTGGATATATACTAGAAGAGATGAACATTATTATGGACCTTTTTTTAAATGTAATTTAGTTTAAAAAGAATGTTTAGGATATAAATTGTTAATCATTTTCTCAGACTAAAAATATAAATTCTATAATTCTCCATATTTAATTATTAATAGTACCTTAAACAAAATATACTTTTAAAATAAGGATAGTTTCATATCATAATTTTTTCTATTTTTAAATTAAAAACTTATTTCGATATGAAGAATATTCCAACATAATAATTTGTTTTAAGTTAATAAAATAAATAAACGATAATTGTATATAGAAACTTTCTCTTATGAGTTAAAATTAAATAACAGATATTTAGTAATATCTTTAAAGATAATTCTTATTTCCAGTCTAAACATCTATTTATATAAATAAAATTTATTAGATTTAAGAATATCCCTTAACAGGCTTTTACTTTAACATCATAAAAGTATATATTCATTTAGGAAATCGCTTTTTAATAGATGAGTATTAGTTTCTTTAATTTATTTATTAGCCATCATTAAATTCATTCATTTTTATACAAATATCTGTCCTAAAAGAAACATCAATTTTATTTATAATTGATGCATGATCTTTTAGTTTCTTGCTGAAATTTGTTAATAATTAGATAGAATAATAAAAAGTATTTTCAAATAAGATCAATAAATTTTTAATCACAGATTTCTATGATTAAAAATCAATTAAAAATATGGATTTAAAATCAATTTTTGTTTCTATTTATATAAAATTTAATCTAATAGAATGAAAGATCTAGCAAATTTTGAATCCACTAGAAATTTATAATTATTATTAATCCAGATTTTTGAAATATTTTGAAATAAATTTTGAAATTTTAAGGATATTTTAAAGAGTATATGTATTTAATTATCAAATAATTTCATGAAGATCTTATAAATGATTGTAAAATCTTTGCTAACTCTTACTGTAATTTTTCTTTTTTTTAACATATTAAATTATTTTATTTTCTAAATTATTTAATTGTATTATTAATATTATTATAAAATCAAAGGTACTCATTGATATAAGAAATCATTGACTAAATTTTTTAAATAAAATTACATTTAATTATGATTTTTAGTAATATACTATTAATATTAATAAATAAAAAATAAAAAAGGGTTGTCAACACGAGGACTTCCCAAGCGGTCCCCCACCTTAGTACTAACCTCGCCTTAAGCCGCTTAACTTCGGAGTTCGAATGGGATCCGGTGCTTTAGGCTTAGTATGGCCGACAACGATATTTACTATAACCTATATCTTTTATACTCAAGGTTCTATTATATAAGAATAAAATATTTATAAATTTAGAATAATTTTTACTAAATTTATGCAATAACATTAAAACTAAAATAACTATAAAATCATTCCTTAAATTCCTTATTTGTATCCATAATTCCCATATACAAATCCTTAACTATTTAATTATTTATAATTACCAAATTAATCATTTTTTATTATCTTCCAGTTCTTCTAAATTTGCTTCTCAATATAGGATCTGGTATAAGATCTTTTATATGTATTCTTAATAATGCATTTTCATCATTTATTTAAAGTTGTTTTAAATTATCAGTATTTTCAAGTTATTCATTTGCTTTTTTAAATTCTGGTAAAAAATTCTAGACTTTTTATAAAAGTGATGATTAAAAGAATTCAAACTTAGGTTTAGGGTTCAACAATTTAGTAATAGCTAGTTCACTTGGGTTAACTGGTATTTCACATCTTAATAAGTCTTTTTTTGACATATATTATAATAAAAATTAATTTTCTAAATAAACAACTAGAATAAAGTGATATCTAATGGAAAATAAAATTATTGAAAATATTTTAATAGTAAAAACAATTCTATATAGAGAAATATGATTGATTAACAAAAGTGAAATAATATATAAAATTTGAATTTAAAATATAATAGTCAAAATGTCAATTCAAAAAAAAGTGACAAAAATTACAAGATAATAAAGTGAATAAGGAAAATTTTTAAATTTGTATTATGAAGTTCAATTGCCTTATTTCAATCCTTAATCTAATTCTGTATTTGCTACAGGATTATTGAATAATCCTTCATTATTGAATATATATCAGTAAGCAATGAGCAGTTATTTGTAAGGATATTATAGATAAGCAATATTTTTTGCAGAAAAATTGTTATGTTTGAATTAAGATTAAATTGCATTACCATATTTAGTATTTTTGCTTGGAATTGTAAATCATTGATTATTTTACATTAGTGTCATTTTGCAAATTAGGAATATTCAGGAGTGTACAATCTATTTTTAAAGCATAAATTGACATAAGGAGATTTTGCAGTGTTGGGAGCTAGAGCTTTATATTCAAATAGACAATATGAATTGGGAATAGAAATTCTTCAAGAAGAGAGTAGTTCATAAAGTGATTGGGTAAGAGGATAATGTTATGAAGCCTTAGAGAATAAATAATTAGCAGTTTCTAATTATTTTGAATGTTTATAGAAAACACCAACGAATGTTAGAGTGTTTTAATAATTAGTTGATTCATATTTGATTTCTTCAGATGAAAAGGAGAATTTAGTTTAATAAATATAATTAAATGCTGATGAAGCCTGGTTAAAGGATTATTATATAAGCAAAACTATAAATTATGAAATTGTGAATTCAAAATTAGCTGATCATTTATAAGAAGAGAAAAGGAAAATTGCATAATAATTATAAATATTTGATAAAGTTGAAACTTAATAATTGAAGCNCTATTATATAAGAATAAAATATTTATAAATTTAGAATAATTTTTACTAAATTTATGCAATAACATTAAAACTAAAATAACTATAAAATCATTCCTTAAATTCCTTATTTGTATCCATAATTCCCATATACAAATCCTTAACTATTTAATTATTTATAATTACCAAATTAATCATTTTTTATTATCTTCCAGTTCTTCTAAATTTGCTTCTCAATATAGGATCTGGTATAAGATCTTTTATATGTATTCTTAATAATGCATTTTCATCATTTATTTAAAGTTGTTTTAAATTATCAGTATTTTCAAGTTATTCATTTGCTTTTTTAAATTCTGGTAAAAAATTCTAGACTTTTTATAAAAGTGATGATTAAAAGAATTCAAACTTAGGTTTAGGGTTCAACAATTTAGTAATAGCTAGTTCACTTGGGTTAACTGGTATTTCACATCTTAATAAGTCTTTTTTTGACATATATTATAATAAAAATTAATTTTCTAAATAAACAACTAGAATAAAGTGATATCTAATGGAAAATAAAATTATTGAAAATATTTTAATAGTAAAAACAATTCTATATAGAGAAATATGATTGATTAACAAAAGTGAAATAATATATAAAATTTGAATTTAAAATATAATAGTCAAAATGTCAATTCAAAAAAAAGTGACAAAAATTACAAGATAATAAAGTGAATAAGGAAAATTTTTAAATTTGTATTATGAAGTTCAATTGCCTTATTTCAATCCTTAATCTAATTCTGTATTTGCTACAGGATTATTGAATAATCCTTCATTATTGAATATATATCAGTAAGCAATGAGCAGTTATTTGTAAGGATATTATAGATAAGCAATATTTTTTGCAGAAAAATTGTTATGTTTGAATTAAGATTAAATTGCATTACCATATTTAGTATTTTTGCTTGGAATTGTAAATCATTGATTATTTTACATTAGTGTCATTTTGCAAATTAGGAATATTCAGGAGTGTACAATCTATTTTTAAAGCATAAATTGACATAAGGAGATTTTGCAGTGTTGGGAGCTAGAGCTTTATATTCAAATAGACAATATGAATTGGGAATAGAAATTCTTCAAGAAGAGAGTAGTTCATAAAGTGATTGGGTAAGAGGATAATGTTATGAAGCCTTAGAGAATAAATAATTAGCAGTTTCTAATTATTTTGAATGTTTATAGAAAACACCAACGAATGTTAGAGTGTTTTAATAATTAGTTGATTCATATTTGATTTCTTCAGATGAAAAGGAGAATTTAGTTTAATAAATATAATTAAATGCTGATGAAGCCTGGTTAAAGGATTATTATATAAGCAAAACTATAAATTATGAAATTGTGAATTCAAAATTAGCTGATCATTTATAAGAAGAGAAAAGGAAAATTGCATAATAATTATAAATATTTGATAAAGTTGAAACTTAATAATTGAAGCCATCACCAATGCGTAGTCCATATATACGTAAAGATGAGATTCCAATTCAAAATGATTTAATATATGTAGCATTGGATAAAAAGAATAATATTGATATACTTAATGTTAAGGCAAAGAAAGCATATTATAATTATGATATTGCATCTGCTTATGATTGGTCATTGAAAGCTATTAAGTAGGATCCTTTGTATTTTGATGTTATTCCAACTTATGTTTCATGTTTATTGGAATTAGAATAGATAGCAGAACTATATTATTGTGCTCATAATTTAATTGAGAATTATGCTCAAAATGCTTTAAGTTGGTTTGTAGTTGGAGTATATTATTTTTCAACTAAAAAATATGAAGTAGCTAGAAAATAATTCTAAAAATCCATTTAATTAGATTAACATTTAATATATAGTTGGATAGGATTAGCACATTCTTATGCAATATAAGATGAATCTGATTAAGCAATGTCAATATATAGATCAATAACAAGATAATTTCCAGGTTGTTATTAAGCACATGTTTATATTGGTATGGAATATTTAAGAACAAATAATTTATAAACTGCTATTTTATCATTATAATAAGCCAAAGATATTAATCCAACAGATCCTATGATTTAGAATGAATTAGGAGTTATAGCTTATAAATAAAAGAAATATAATGAAGCCAAAGATGTAAATATATTTAATATATTATATAATAGTATTTTTTTAACGCTTTAGTTTTTTGTTAAAATTCAAATCATAAAATTAGAGAATCTGCATTATAGAATCTTGGACATACTTTTAGGAAATAAAAAGATTATAAGAATGCAATTCAGATATTTGAAAAATGTATACAAGTAAAAATAATTATTCTATAAATAGTTGAATTCAGTTTCTCCATAAATATTTTTTGGTTTAGCATTTTCCTATCATTTAAGTGAATTACCAAATAGTTTAAACAAAGCAATTCATTATTATCATAAGTCACTCTCATTAAAATCTGATTAAACTTTTGTTCAAGATATGTTAAGCAAAGCTCTTTAAGAGGCAGCTGAAATGGGATTATCAGAATATATAAATTGAATATATATATATATATATCTATTTAAATAAAAAAGTAAATTATCAACTTATATAATTATTGATCAAATCTTATTGATTTATCTTCTCTTAAGATTATAAAAATAAAATAAATTAATAAGATATTCTTATTAAGAATATGAAATTTTTGTTAAAATATAAATCTTTATAGACAATAATGCTTTAATTTAATAATAGCTATTATATTTTATTTGAATGTATTGTAGCTCAATGAGTAGCTGATTAATTGTTTGGAGCTGTAAATGGTCTTCTCTATTCTAAGAAATCATCAAATTCACCATCTGCACGTCTTATACTATATTAATTTCAAATACCTATTGTTAAGATTTGGTCTTTATTAAGCTGCTCTCAATTATCTCATAACATTCATAACAATTTCTGCTGTTCTTTCAATACTCAATTATTTGCCTGCTCCTAATTTAGCTTTCTCATCCTTCACTAATTCACTTAAATTTTAATTCATTTTTATACCTGATGTGATCAATAACTTAATCTTCAATTGCTTTACCACCATTCTTTCTTTATTCATAAGCTTCCTACTAATTTGCCAAATATTAATTCCAAATTGTGTATGTAAACAATTAATATGGATGTGAATTATATGATACTAATTCAAAATCTCTATCAATTTAATCTACCATTCTTCTTTCACCACCATGTTTAATTTAAGTGACTTAACATTCAGCAATGTGAGGTACAATGAAAAATGTTCTTAAACCCATCTAAAATAATTCTTCCAACTCTTTATTGCCAAAGAAATATTATTTGCAATGTCTGGATATCTTTCTGTATGAATGATAAGCTATTCAATAGACATTAAATTTCTAACCTCTCAAAAATGAATTATGATCGTAACGACATCTAATACCAATAGTAAATTCTGAACTTGATGGACGTGGAGCATTGAAATTTTTAGGATGCCAATTATTCTTCCATCCAGCTCTTGTCCAGAAGAATGACTTATTTCTGATTTTGTATACCATAAATTAATATCTTTTATTATTAACAAATAAATAACATAATTCAATTTTAAAGCCAATCTCTATTTATGATTTCTAATTCATAACATAAACCAAAACAGTTATATAACACTATAATAATTTTGAATAAGTATTGGGTAAATCTAAAACATTCTATAATTTAAGTATACAATTAATACTTCCATCAATTTTAGCTTATTATATAAAACCTAAAGGAACTTGCTGAATTATTATTTATCATATATAGATTGATATCATAAGATCCTTTAACAAATTATATATATTTATCAGATACTATTTATAAATTAAAAGTAGAATTCTAATAAAATTTTGTTTTTTTATAATTCTTATATCTTATAGATATTAATTTTTGTTTTTCTTCTTTTTATTATTTAAAATAGAATTATTATTATATTATTTTATTAAAATAAATAAATCATAGCTTACTAATAAATTTATAAATAAATTATCATCTTTTAAAATTGCTAATCAACAGTATATTTAAGATTAACATTGGAAAAAAAAGTTAAAATGATTCATTAAAGATATTATCCTCTATGAGTGAACAAAATAATCCGAGAATTAATGACAACAGCAATTATAATTTGAAATAAATTTTTATAGAAGTTATTAGAAATAATCAAAAAAAGTAGTCAAGAAATTATTTAATAATAATTAAAGGTATATTTTATTTTAGCATCTGTTATTTTTTGTTTGTTCACTTTAATTCATTTTTTTATATTTAGACATTTTAAAATTAGTGTAAAAAACAATAATAATTTTCCAAAATTTCTAATAAATTACTTGAAATCATTTGCCCATTTTGAAACTATAATTTTCTTTTTATTAAATATGTAAGATGTATGTTCTAAGGATTCTACTATATGATTTATCAATAAGATTAAAAGTATAAAATTTTTCTTGTATTTAATTTTTTAAATCATATTTTGAATAATAAAATAATATTTGAAAATATATATAATATTATGATGGTTTACATGATGAAGATATCAATATATTAAATTTGTTTATGTTATTTATTTTTTTAATTATGTAGAATTTATTAAATCAATATAAATTTTAGACACAATTTTGTAATAATGGGAGTCTTTCATAATAAAAATAAATAAAATTTAATTCTGTTTATATATTTCTTTAAAAGATGATAGAGGATTAAAGAAATATTATGTAGAATTAAATTTTAAGAAATTTAAATCTTTTGATTTTGTTTATGAAACAGAATTTATATTTAAAAATTAATGAGTTTAGATTCTTTTGGTTGTGATTTTAGTTTACCTTAGCTTGACATTATATAAAATCAAAACATTGAGCTTTAAGATTTATTAATTGAAGATTTAGAGGAAGTAAAAGATAAAAAATAAAATGAAACTAAAAACATTCCTAAAAACATAGGAGTCTTGGTTAAGAATTACTTAAGTATATAATTATTTAAATTCTTTTTAGAAAAAAATCATTAAAAATAATTGTAGTATAATTCAACCATAAAAAAGTTTATTCATAAAGGAAATTAGAGGAAAAATTATACTCGTAAAGATTTTAAAAATTTATTGTAAAATGCAGAAGCTAGAAAAATATGCTCACAATATTTTTGCAGTTTTCAAATAATTGATGACATACTTAAGTCAAAAAAGATTGGGAATATGGAGATTGTGTTGAAATATATAAAGAAACTATTTTTGGCTACATTTGATCCAGAGATATTATCATAACTTAAGTATTCAACAAATTGAAAATCTATTACTATCTTAAAATTTAGAATTTCTGATCTATTATAAGTGGGTGTTTATTGTTTTATTATATATAAAAATATATATGTAATAAAAGTTAGAAACAATAAAAGGTTGGGATATTGATACATCATTTGAATCTCAAGGGATATTGAAACCTAAGATTAATTAAATTATAGCAGAAGAACCTTGTTAAACAAAAACTCTCTCTTCAGAAAGAAAACCATCTCCTAAAAAAATAAATAAGACACCGAAAACTCGAACTCCTATAAATTCGGTTCATTATGAATAAGGAAGTCTTAGTTCAAATTCTTTAGGCAAATTATATGTTAAAAAACAATTTAAATAACCTCTCCCACCTCCTCAACTTCTAACAGTGTCTAAATTAAAATTAAGATTAAATGCTCTTCCATAATAACCTTCAATGCCATAAAAAGCTTATTCAAGTGCTCAATTAAATACTATTTTGTAATTAAAAAGAAAGAATATGTATTTACAATCTATCTTGAAAAAAGTAATAATAAATTTGTCTAAAAATACTTAAGGTTAATAATAATGAGAGTGAAGAACGATACAATAAATCATAATGTGATCAATTGATGGTTACTCATAACAGAGCTTCATAATCGATGTGGATGGAGAGTACTATGGCCATGCGCAGTTTCTTTAACACTCGAATTGGACATTTTAAAGCAAATGGTACCAAGCATAAGTTTGTAGTGTGATCGAATTACTTTTAAAAAATATTTTTAAAGATTTTTAATTTATGGGAAAGAAGGAAAAAGGAAAGCCTAATCCATTAGGAGAAGTAAGCAGAGATTACACCATCAATCTCCATAAAGCAGTTCATAAAGAAACATTTAAAAGAAAGGCACCTAGAGCAGTTAGTCACATTATTAGATTTGGTATTAAATGATGCACTATTTTAGCTTAAAAAAACATGTTAACTGATGATGTCAGAATTGATCCATAATTAAATGAAGCAGTTTGGGCAAGAGGAATTCGTAATTTGCCTAGAAGAATAAGAGTAAGATTATAAAGAAAGAAGAAGGAAGAAGATGATGGAAAAGGTAAGTACTATACACTTGCTCAATATGTTCCAGTTGATTCATTTGATAACCTTAAGACTGAAATTACAAAATAATAATGATATATTATATGTACAATATATATAGATAGACAAATAATCAACTCATTTGAAACTTAATTACCACAAGGCATCACCTAAATGATGTAACAATTAAATTGCATGACCTTTTGGATCTTTTTTTATTTCATCAGAACTTGCATTCATAATACCTATTCCCATAGCATTTTCTTTTCCTTCTCCATATATAGCTACAACCTATCCTTTTTATGCCTAAATTTATATTTAATAACATACTTAATTTAGTTAGCCTCCTTAAGAAATCAGCCCTGGAGCTAATACATCTGAACCACTTAAAATATGTTTAATTGCTCCTGCATCAACTTATTATTTTATAATTAGATCTGGAAATTTATGGACTAGTTTCAAATGTGGAACGACTAAATCTTCTTTTGTGAAACAAATATAATCTTTATCAACTTAGACTATTTCAACTTTATATTCACTCCTTAATTTAAATGATTAGATATTAGATTTCTTAGGAAATATTTCATCCTCAACTTCTTTGAAAAAAGGATATTATTCATTGAATGATTGCTTTAATTCCTTAACTCCAGTTTTAGATAGCAATGTTGGTTTGGAAAGATCCTCTAGTTTCTTGAACATATTTTAATTAAATATTCAAATAAATAAATATCATAATATGTAATCCTGGTAAACTTGTGCTTTATCTGGAGAGTTAATAGAAACTCCAGTAATATCTAAAGTGAGCGGACATATTTATGAAAAGAGATTAATAGAAAAACACATAGAAAGCACAGGCACATGTCCAATAACTGGAAGACCATTAAATATTGAAGATTTGATTGAAGTATAATAATAATATATAACTATTATAGGTGAAAGTGTCAAGAGTTTAGAAACCAAGACCAGTAACAGCAACATCAATACCATCCTTATTGTCATTATTATAAAATGAATGGGATTCATTATTATTGGAATAATTTTAATTAAAATAGCATTTAGAATAAGTTAGACATGAATTGACACATGCATTATATTAACATGATGCAGCTTGTCGTGTGATTGCTAAATTAATTAAAGAAAGAGATTAAGCTAGAATAGAATTGGCATAATTATAGCACAAATTAAATCATAAAATTGAAGTAGAAGCAAATAATGCTCCTGAGAAATTACCATCAAATTATATTGCTGAAATAGAAGAAAATGCAATTAAATTAACAAATTAAAGAAAGATATAAAGAAAATAACAATCATATTTTGACTAATTCCCAGGTCCTGAAGTAAAAGATCCTAATTATCTAGATTCTCTCAAATTATGATGTAAAACAATAGTACTAATAAACTTAAGGAGGGACATCCTTGGATACATAAGGCAATTATGTATTAGTTGGTGGATAGGCAGGATAGATTTTATTATATTCTCATGAAAATTTAGTTTATTAAGCTTAAGAACACACATAGAATATTACTTCAGTGAATTTCTTTACTTTTGATGAGCATCTTAGATTTATTTCATCTTCATAAGATGGAAACCTGAATATTTATTAATTTAACTCTCAAACACAATAAGGTTAAGTTACTTAAACAATTAATATTGGTTAAAGTATTACAGGAGTGGCAATCCATCCATTAGGATATATTGCTATTATAGTAACAAATAATGGATTATTGGCATATTATAATTTAAAAAATGGATAATAATTGAGTAGAGTAACTGATTTTGAAGGATAATGTCAATTTACATCTTTATCTCTTCATCCTGATGGTTTGTTATTGGCTATTGGGTAGGCAGATTCATAAATTAAGGTTTGGAATATAGTAAAAAATTAGTTGTTAGCTTAATTTGAAGGATAAGATGTAATATATTAAGTAAAATAATATAGGGAGCAGTCACAAGTCTATCATTTTCTGAAAGTGGAGCTAATTTAGCTTCAAGTAGCAATAGTGAAGTAAATGAATGGGATTTAAGACGTCCTGGTTAATTCTAAAAGATTTATCAAGGCTAAAAGATAGGTAGGTTATGAAGATTAAATTTTAGGTGCAATATAATATGATCCATCTGGTTAGTTTTTAGCAATTGGCAGTAACAAAACTATTCATTTTTTTGATGTTAAGAAAAAATAAGAGTTCTATAAAATTGAAAGTCATAGAGATCTTGTCACTAGTATAAGGTATATAATTTGATTTAATTTAGATTTGGACAATTAAGCAAATATATATATAGTTGCAGTGTTGATAAATTAGTAAATATCTATGGTAACTGAGTAGATTTTTAATTATATAAATAATCAGTTAATTAAATATGTATTAAAGGATATCAATCTCTCATTGCCAATTGTGTAAAATGTAAGCTATGAAACCTATCTCTTTAATTTGTTCTCATACACTTTGTTTCAAATGTGGATAAAATATATCTATTCAAGAAAATACAAGGTAAGAGAAAATTTGAATTTGTATTTTAGTTAAATACAGAATAAGTATAGAATTTAATGTCCTTTATGTCGGAGAGTCACTCATACTTATGATATCAATAATCTTTTAATGGAAAACAATGAGTTAAATCTAATTACAGACTCAAGTGAAATGGATAAAGAGATTTTAAATGAAGTATCTACTAATCTACATATAGAGTTAATTATAAAATGATTCAAAACATGGCAGAAGATATTCTAATTTTGATATTCCAAATAAAATTTAAAACACTGCTCAACAAAAAATGTCAGAATTATTAACATAAACTAATAATGCAATGAAATTAGTTAATGAAAAGCCTAAATAAAATAATACAACTATTAGTCACTTTCAAAAATAATCAGCAACAGTTGGTGTAATTATTGAAGACAGTATTTTCATATTTGAAATTATTAGATCGTTCCAAAGTTCAATTGAATTAGCAACCTTATGGATCTTAATTCTAATCTTAAATTTAAAAAACCTTAATCTAATACTAATAATAATAAGAACTTCAATAACAAACTTAATTAATTAATAAAGACATCTTAAAACCTAATAATAACACTCCTAATGCCAGTCCTTATTCAACTCCACTTGCATCCTAATTTCACATTAATTTCTAAAATACTGATAATAAAAAATAAACATAAAATCCACTTTAATTTTAACCATAAAAAGATAAACCATTTTATTTAGATGATAAAAAATACACTCAAGAAATTAAAGAAAATTAATTTCAAAAAGAAATCCCAAAAGAAATTACTGAACCATCTCGACATAAAAGAAGTGCAACTGGAATACCTAATAAATAAATAACTACTAATAATACATCAATTATTAATAACATTAATTAAAATATTAGTACTAATGAAAGTTCAGAGTAAATTATTACTTAATATTTCTAAATTATACAAAAAGGTTTATAAAAATTAGAAAAAGATACTTTAATGATTATTAAAAATAAAAATGTTTAACCATAAGCTCTCTATTAAAAAATGAAATAATTAAATTAAACAAAAGATCAAGATGGAGAATTAATTTAATCAATCAAAATTGTTATTAAATTATAAACTGAATTAAATGGTTTATTAACTCCCTCTTGTCATAGAAAAACTAGTTCTCATGCTAGTCAAAGGTATTCTAATAATACTACTAATACAAAGAGTGATCATAGTTCTACATCTATTTTGCAATAAGAATTTAAAAATTTAAAGAAGTTATTCTGAACTTTTAATGTTTATTTTTTTTAATTAAATTTATGTCAAACCTCTAATCAAAATATAATTTTATTTAATTAAATTAAAACTATTCTATTAATATTTCAATTCTTATATCAGTATCTTCAATTATTTAATATCTATTATAATGAATAAAATATTAGTTCTGTTTCCAGAAATACTTTAATAAAAATAATAAAGTTTTGATTATTTAAATAATATAATTTTAACTATAAAAATAAAAAGGATTACACGTAGAGTAAATCTTATGATATATTTGAATATATAGAAAAGACAACTTATAAATAGTCTTCATGTAAAACCTTTATTCTTCAATAAACTTATAGATCCTAATATAATTTTCAGATAAACTAAATAATATATATAAATTTGGATATAAAAGATAAATTCTTATAAATAGTTTTATTGCACATATTCAATATCATAATCTTTTATAATATTAAATTGAACAATTCAGAGTTATCTAAATGATTAGTTAATAAAATTTAAATAGAAAACAAAAGCAATTCTAAATAATTGAATATTCATAATTAAAATCTCTAATTAAAATTCAACTAGAATTTTTCAACTAACAAAATTGTTTAAATTCTATTAAAAGAATTTAACAAAACCTAGTTATTAATCTAGTTCAAAAATTTTATGAATATCAAAGAATAATCAGATATTAATTAGAAATTGATATTATTATGTATATGCTATACAAATTAAATGTTTAATCATTGTTGAGTATTAAATTAAGAGAGAGAAAATTATTGATTATTGAATGTCATTAAGGATTCAGCAGATTCCATAATGTATTCCCTAATTAATAGATTTAATGAAATACTTATCAAATAAGTGTTTTTCTGAATCTGAAGAGATGTTACTCTTAATATCAGAACTGGTCTCAGATAAATAATGCTCATTTTAAATTTCTATTACTATAAAAATTAAAATATTACTTTCGCATTCTTTTATGGCTTTTGCAAAAATAACTGACCTAAGGCTATCATAGCCAAATGAGGAATGAAGAGACATTTTTGAATGTTCAAATTGTTAGGAATTTATTTATTGAATTACGTTTTTAACTTCTATAAAAATACAAAATTAATACGAATCAAAATTACGTATGTAATAAAATAATTGCTAAAAATAAATTATTTATTATATTAGTTTAATTATTATATTAATCATACTAGTTCATTTATCATCTAAAATTATATAATTGTACTTAAGAGAGATATAATATATTCCAATAAAATATCAATTCTTTATTCTATTAAAAAATTTTATAAAAATTCATAAATTAAAGGAGAGAAAGGTTTAATTTATACAAAAAATTGAAAAAAATTAAATACAAATTAGATTCAATGCAGCATTTACTAAATTTGGCTTACTTCTATTGTTTACTTTTAAAAATAATTTTTTTTATAAATACGAATTTCATTTATTTACTCATTTAATAATTGAACAACATATTATATAAGAGTTTCTTTGAGTTAATTTGTTATAGATCCTAATAAAATTCATTATCCAACCAAATTTATTTTACTTCATTTATACAATGTATTTATCACTTCCTGGTGCTAATAATAATTGAAAATAAATTTTTGTTATTAAATTTTTCTGCAAGAAAAATGTTTTATTTTTATTATGAATTAATTGGGATTTTTATCACTTCTGACAATATGAATATTATTAGAATAAATAAAATAGCTTATCTATAGAGGTTATGTAAAATTAATTTCACTGATTAAAAACATCAAATATTTTTAGAGGATTTGAAATGAATAGGTTATTAAATGAAAATTAAGATTTTAAAAAATGCTTATAAAAAGGAATGCTAATGATTATTCAATTCAAATGTTTTATTGTATTGTCTTTTTATTATTTTTAGTTTATCAAGAATAAAAACTGACAGGGTTATGATAATGGAGACAATTGGCAGTTTTAGTAATTAAAGAAATGTTAAAGGTTTTTGTAATAATAGTGATTATTAGTGATGTATAGTTTATCTTTAAAATGATAGAATTGAAAGTAATTAAATACGGGAGGCTTTTCATGTTTAATTTTATATCAAAATCGGCAATGATCTTGGTAAGGTTATACTATTTCTACGTTTATCATTTAGTTGACTATCAGTTTTCCATCGGTGGAAGTATTTCATGGCGGAATGAGTGATAATTTCAATTGGATTTACATAAACAGGTTTGGAAAATGTTTGAGGTGTTTCGAGATTGAAAAAACCATCTATATCATTTGTATATAGATTTAAATGACTTCTTTAAGAATCGTCAATTTCTTCTATCATACTTAGAGTAGATTTAAAATTTTGGAATCCTGTATCATAGATATGTAATTCACTTTTAATTCTATGGAGATGATCTTTATATTATTATTGTTGTTTTTATTGAGGAAAATCATAAAATTATTCTAGAATTTCATGAGTACAAAAATAAATGATTTTTTTATCTACATTTACTAAACAAGGAGTTAATCCTTGAATATCTTATTCTTATTCAATATTTCCAATAGTATATGAAGTTTATTATTAGAATGTAGATTTTACATGATTATTTTATAATTCTTATATGTCTATTGATTTTTTATGATTGTTTTTATTTTAAGTTTCTGAACTTCTCCATTTTAACTTAGCCAAAACAGCATCAATTACTAATCTTTATAGATCTGTTATATCAGGTCCAGTATAGCCAGATAACAAATCATCTAAGTTAGTGACTAATCCATTTTAAGTTTATCTAAATATATAGAATATTTAAATTATTACAGATAAGGTTAATCTTTTTCTTTTTTTAATAAACTATTGAATCTATTTTTTAAATTGTTCTCGCTTCTTTTTCCATCCATAACTTTAGAAATTTCTGCCCATCTTCTACCCACCTCTTTAACTATAGTTAATAATTATATATCTTCCTCATCAGTCCAAGGTTCTCTATTTTTAGTATTAATTTAATGATACTTTGATATTTTTGGATTAAGATGATTTAACCATCTTTCACGACATTATTTACTAGAGCGATAAACAGTTGAATTCTAATTTAATTCTTATGAAATTTGACTCCACTTTTACCCTTAATCAATTGATTAATATTGCATAATAATTTCATATAACTTTTTATCTTCTTCAGGTCTAAAAGGTTGTTATTACAATGCAACCTTTTGCATTTAAGTCCATTTTAATTTACATTATTCCTTATCTCTACGACAAATCATTTTTGAAATTTCTTCAAAAAGTTCAGCAGATAAATCTCTTAAGTCTTCATTTCTTTATTAACTAAGTTTCCCAACTAACCAAATGAGTACTTTCTTTTCATTTAATGTCCAATTTTTCTTTAAATTTGTATTCCATCCACTAGTTGTTAGAATCTCAAGTTATATTTAATTAATTTCTTCATCAGTCGGAAATTCTGTAAGACCTAAGTTAAAAAATTCTTTCATGTATTCAAATTTCATAAAAGTGGTGGTCTAAGCTTGACTATAGAAATTTTGGAATTCTTAATAGAAATTATTATCTTGTGAATCAGAATTTTTTCTTTACGATATTGCTGTCTTTAATTTGCTTTTGGATTTCTTTCTATCTGCAAGACTATTATTTCTTTTACTCATATAATAAATATTAATGAAAATAACAACTATAAACATTTCATTTACTCTTAGACTTTAATCTACTTAATTTCTTGCTTCCATTTTTATCAAATACATATAAACTAATAGCAATCACAAAATTAAAACAACTGACTCCAACAAAGAAATAAGACTGATAAACATATCTAAATGATAATAATTACATTATATTACCCTTAAAATGGATCAACTTAGCCTTCTTCATTAATTAAATGACTATTATATAAACTTCCAGTAATTAGAGGAAACAATGCTAAAGCTGTATTCTACATTACTCCCAATAAACCAAATGCCGTTCCTATTAATATATATATTTTAAGAATACCTATCATTTATGATTTGACTACTAAAGGAATTGATGGGATCAAAATGGCAGAATAAAAAGAATAACAAATTCCTAATGACAATAAAGGTAATGCTGATACTCCACAAGCGGACTAATATTGAATAGATATAGAAGATTACATCACAATAAATAAGGAGAAGACACAAATGAGTGATGATAAAAATAACAGTAGTGAGAACTATCAATAAAGAACGTTATCTGATTTTATCACTATAGATGCCTACAAAAGGAGTCACACATGCTGCAAATACATAGGGAATTGTTAATAAAACACCAGCTGATTATTAACTAAATCCAAATTTGACTTAAAAGAATGCATTTCCATTATCTAAAAAGGGAACAAAGAGTGCTTCACTTAACATTATAATGCATGACAATATCCAATAAGAACCATCTAAATGTTTCAAATCTGATAACTTAATCTCTTCTTTTGCTTCATGTACTGTTTCCTCTTCTTTTTCATCATCATCATTATCATCATCTTCCTCTTCTAACAATGATATTGATCTTTCACTTTCAGTAGATTCGCTTTTTCTAATCTATAAACTCATTTCCTAAGCTGCAGATAATACTTCCTTATGTTAATTATTCTCTTATTCTGGATTGAACTCTTTCCATTATGCCATCAATTATTCATTTTTTTTGTCTAAATAGATTAAAACTAATCCACATCCCCATGAAAATATGACTATAAAAAGTCCAACCAAAAATGTAAAACCTAATTCACCATGATTTGCTTAAATCTATGGACTAACTAAACTGTTTAATGCACTTCCCAATTTTGGTATTGATAAACACAAACCCAAGGCTAAACTTACTTACCCTCCTTAAAACCATTATGACATTATGGCTGCTTATGCTGCATTCAGACTTTCAGAGCCAATGCCAAAAATACATCTGCCAGCCAACATTGTCCCATATGATAATGTATATCCACCAATAACTACAATACTCTAGCCCAAAATAAGTATAGACGAGAATATCAATATACTTATTCTCACACCTATCTTGTCTATAAGGATGCCTCCAAAAAATGGTAAAATTATATTTGGAGCAGAATATATTGAATAAAGCATATTGAATTATACATTGTTAAGGTTCATCTCAGTTTGAATAGTTGATTACAAAGCCATTGGATTATCAAAAGCATAAGCATCTCCAAATAAAAGAAAGCAAGCTAGACCAAGTGCTAACCATAATACCCAAGTCTTTTGTAACGGTAACTAGTATAAATAAGACTGTTTGCTATCTTTTTCTAATTACATAATTAATAATCTTTATAATTCATTTATTAAAATTCGTACCGCTTTTCCATTAAGTCTAAGATCTGCTATCACTTACATCATCTAATTAAAATGGATCAGCAACAATATGATGTGCATTTGTTTTATTCTTACCATTATAATTATTTCCAAGATCAGGACTTGAATTATCATCTTATAAATTTATATCTTCAAATTCCTCTTCTTATTCTTCATCTTCATCTTCATCTTCTTGTTCTTCTGATTAATAACTAGGTTCATCCAATTCTTTATTGATATTCTCAGGAACTATTTGAGCATTATACTTCCTCTATGCGTTACTCTTTATTTTTAATTAATCAGCTTCTTTTTTCCCATAGAATTCCATGAATTTTTGAATAAAATCTTCAACAAATCTTTATTCACCATAAAACATTTCTCTATCTACTAAATATAATTATATAACAGATTTTGTAGTGATATCATAACTTACTTGAAATACTGAAACATAAAAAAATCCAATTAAGAATACAAATAATGTAGGTATCAATGGACTTTCAATATCTGCTACTTTAATTCCCAAAAGAGTAGTTTCACATACTGAAAGGTATATATAAATAGGTAAACTAATAACAAGACTATTTGACAATTTTAATAGAAAGAGTATAAATTCAATGAGAAAATCTAAATCATGAATCTTTTCTTTATGTCTATCCAATAAAAAGTATGCCTTTCTAGATGATTAAGTATATCCTTCAGACCATATGGCCACTTAAACTAAAGCATGTTTGCTTAAATATCTTAAACAATTTTGATAACATGCTAAACAACAAAGACAACATCCTTAAATGAATCTAACAATCATTGAATCTTATGGTAAACTACTTAGAAAATAATAGATTGTATAGAATATCCATTTAGGTACAAAAAAGAATATCTCCATAAAGACTGCATATACACAAGATCCTAGATGATGTAACAATAATTCTCTTAATACAACTAATAGTGGAATCTAGACCACATCCTTTCTTTTAGTGAAAAACCATACACTTAAAGCATAACTATTGAACATTTCATTAACACTCATTACAAATAATAAAAAGAACAATATCATAAAAGCCTAAAATGGTAATGATAATTAATAAATTTAAGTAGTTGTAAATATTTTGACAGCATCTCCATTAATATTGAGTGCTTAAACTGTAGATCTTTCTCCAATAGTCATACCATATAATATAACTATACAGGAATATCCTAATTAAACAAATCCAACAAAAGCTACAAAGATTGCAAAAAATCTTAATTATTTTAGAACAACTACAATTTAAGAAGATGTCTTAATTAAACTGATTCCCAAATTGATTTTATTGAATAATTTCATGATATTAAATAGAAATAGTAATCCTACTCCAGCAGTTGCTATCCATGCTAAATAAAATAATGTTGCTCTATCTCCTCCACATTAATGTTTATCAATTTTATAAAGACATCTAGTATCAATTACTCTTTCATATTCTCTATAAAATAAATAAGAGAGTACTCCAAAACAAATTATACTCAACCAAATCTATCCCCACACTTAATATTTTACTATAGATGGGAAACTCAAAAGATATGTTAAAAAATAAGCTGATGCACCTAATAAAATGATAGATGCTATTATCAAATCAAGACTTAATAAAATATCAGACATAGTACGCTTGATATAAGGTTCAGTTTAACTCAAATAATCATCTACTATTTTTCTACTCACAGGTTCTTTTGGAATACAATATCTTGCCATTTTAGTTGAACTCATTTGAACATAGCAAAAGTTAGTTGTAGTAAAATGATCAATTGAATAAAGACAAGTATATTTACCTGTTGATGAAGGACACTCATTCACACACATGGCTACGTTCAAATCTACTGAAGGTTATAGATAATATAGATAAGGTAGATTAATCAAACCATTTATCCCACATATTTCATCTCGAAAATCATAACCATTTGATATTCTATTTATGTTCCCATAACTAATCAGTACTATTCCATGGAACACTGTTGCACAAAAGAATACAATCAAGAAAAACAAACACAATCTATCAGTCATCGATCTCTCCTCTTAATTTAGTTAATCACAGTACTTTTGGGTCCATTAAAACCTTCATAAGGTCGCATTCCTTAATTCAAAGGGTTATTTTGATCAAGTCTTTTATAAAGTTCTATTCGTGACAATTAGTCAGCACTGTCAAACTCAGGTTTTACCTTTTTCATTATTTCTTTCTTATTCCTTTTCACCTAAACTTTCTTTTTCATCTCTTTTTAATTTCAATAATATTTAAAACTAAGAACTTATTATCTATATAATATATCGATACTCTAAAACCATAAGATATTATTACATTCAACTAGAATATTACAAAAAAACAATTGATGGATATATAACTATAACTATTGCTAAGAACAAAAATAATAATAAGAATAATAATAAGAAATTTAACATAAGAAAGTAGTTATTAAAATACTTCAAATTACAAATTTAGTAATAAGCATATCATTTTAAATATGAAAAATAACAATCTATTGATTATTGAAGTATATCTTAAATGTGATGTAAATTTCTATAAATAATAATAGCTTTAAAAGAAAGTTTTATAAGTGTTGGGAATATCAAAGAATACGATAAATAGATGAGGTTAGATTGTCTCTTCATCAAGAAATACTTGATATCAAAAAGTATAAAAAATTAGAACATAATGAAAAATAGTTAATAAATATAATAAATGATGAAGAGATAGTGTATCAAGTTGATTTCAAGAAAAATGAAATTATTGAAAAGTTTAAGGTGTTATTTAAGAAATAAGAGATATTTGATATTTGATTAATAAAATAATAAAAAATTAAATGTCTGAGGAGTAATAAGAATTTGAAGGTTAAGAAGGATAAGAAGGAATGCATGAAGAATAATCTGAACAATAATAACAATAATAGCAATAATAACAATAATAATAATAATAATAAAATCAGACATAACAAAAATAAAAACCTGTTGTCCCAAAAAATGATCCTCCTCAAGAAGGAGCAATTATATTTGATTTTGAAGTTTGTATGGATTGCTCTTCTCATGCATGGTGTACTCATCATGATGAAAATAAATATACATAATTGTATTTGGATTGCAAAGCAGGTATTCAATTAAATAATAATAATATTAGAGATTGAAGCATAAATTTCTAAATCTTATTGCACATATAATGCTAAGAAAAAACCCTCAACTGGAGCTTTTGAGATTTCTCATTAAGGTAAACAGTTATATAAATTTATAGGAATCATTATTTTTTCAAAGAAAAACTCTTAAGTATTTCCATAACCTAAATTATTACCTGAAAGAATTAGATAATTCTTAGATGATTTGGAAAATAAAAGAGATGTGAATAAGTGGGCAACAAAAAAAGAAATAAAATAAGAGTAACCAAGACAAATCAAGGAAAGACCAACATTTTAAACCTATATGAAATAAAGAGAAGAATAAGAGAGATTAGCTAAAGAGTAGAAACAAAAATAAGAGGAAGAAGAAAGATTAAAATAAGAATAGGAAGAGAGAGATAGATAAGAAAGAGAAAGATAAGAAGAAGAATAAAGAAAAATAGAAGAAGAAAAAAGAAGACAAGAAGAATAAAGATAGGCTGAAGAAAAGGCTGCTGCTGAAGAAAAGGAAAGATAAGAATAAGAGTAAAAGAAACTTGAATAATAATAAGAAGAAGCAAATAAAGAATAATAAGAATAAGAGTAGTAATAGGAAGGAGAAAAATAACCAGAGTGAACATATGCAAAGCAAATAGAATGAGATTATAACATTAAAAAAACTATTTGTTATTATTATTGTTATTGTCATGATTATTATTATTATGATTATTTATTATTATTATTATTATTATTATTATTGTTATTATTACTATTATTATTGTTATTATTATTATTATCATAGAATTCTATATACTAATTTGTTTTAACTTGATGTGTATTTATACTGATAAAGATGGATCGAAATTATAAAGAACGATCTCATTATTATATCATAATTATATAATTGAAATGTTAATTATGATTTTAACATAATTGATTTGATATATAATATAATTTTTAACTTATATCATGCAGTAATAGAAACCTCAATCTAGTTGTTCTCATTTTCAAAAGATCCTTCTTTAAAGAAGTACACCTCAAGTTCATAACTCTCTCACTAAATTATTAGTACTAATTTTTATTAATGGATATCAAGGTGTTATTCAAAAATAAGTAAATAAAATGTGAGATCTGTTAAAGAAAATAAGATTAAATGAATATCTGTTTGAAATGTGAAAAACCTTTATGTGATATTGAAAAAATATGTTCTACAGAGCATTTAAGATGTAAAAATATTGTATTTATAATTAGTAAATAGTCCTGAACATTGTGTGATAATTAATATCCACTCAAATCTAATTGCATGTTTGTTGTGTAAAATAGAAATTTATGATTTTGAGCAAACCTAATAGAATGAAGAAGATCAATATATTGAAGAAACTATTAATCCTTAAAAGATTAGGATGGAATATCATAAATTCTTTTATAAATAAGAACTTCGTAATTCTGAATTGAAAAATCAAAAAAATGTTTAACATGCTGGAATGTTAAACATCTGTAATAATAGCCATTTGAATTGTGTTTTATAAATATTACTAAACTATCCAGTAATCTAGTAAATACTTCAGAAGATCAATTATGAATATGAGAAAAATTAATATAGTTTAAAATCTAATAGGAAATAGATTCTTAGAGAATTAAGTGCAATTGCTTCAATTTATTCATAAAATCAATATAGAATCATAAATCCTTCAGTATTAATTAAAAATCTTGCGTTACTTGATTACAAAATTATTGGGTATTCTAGAAAAGATGCATATGTAATTTATATATTATTTACTTTTTATAGGATTCTTTCAAAACAATTATTAACTTTTTAAATGAAGAGTTCAAATTTTCAAATTTAAAAACATACTTTAAAAATGATCTGATTTACACAAAATAAGCTCTAGGACATGATTGGAACATAATGTACACTCTAAAAAGTAGTTAGTGCTGATCCTAGTTTATATATGGAATATTCATTTATTCAAAGTATATTTTCTGGAGAACTTATTTCTAACCTTGAATGTTTGAATTGTAAGAAAGTTACAAAGTCTGTTGAATAATTCTCAGCATTATCCCTAGAACTACCTGAATTAAAACAATAAGGATTTTTCAAATAATTTGTAACTAATTAGAAATAGACAATTTCATTAAAAGAATGTCTTGATTACTTTTATGAACCAGTGATTGATTCATTTACTCTATGTAGTTGTGGTACAAGATCGTCTAAGAGAAAATATAGTTTTTAATAATAATCCAATTTATTATGTATTCATTTACAAAGATTCTTGAATAAAAGCTAAAAGGATACAAAACATGTTTCATTTCCAATAAAGGATCATAACTTTTAAGACTATTTTAATGTATGATTTTTATTTTAATAAATAATAGTTTGATAGTGAATAGAATTATAGACTTTTTGGTATTGTTGTACATTTACATGATTAAGGTGGGGATCATTTTGAAACAATCTTAAGATATCAAAATTCACAATTTCTGAGCATTAAAGATGAAATGATTGAAATAGTTTAATAAAAATATGTAGAAGAATGTGAAGCTTTATTGTTGTTTTATGAAAAAGTTGATAATTAATTAGATCCATTTAAAACAAGTCTTCGAAAAAACTTGTAAAATTAACATAATATGATTTCAAATCAAGAATTATCATTAAAAGATGATGAATTATGTTATTTACCACATTTTTGGTATGAATAATTTTTATATCTTGCAAAACCACCTTAGATTATAACATCTCATTTAATTTGTCCTCATAATCTATTAAAACCTGATTATTGGGATTTTAGATTAGAATATGAAGTAACAATATAATTATAATCAGAATGCTAATTCAGTTTAATTAAATTCCTAATTAGATACTAATACTAGTTTCATTACTATAGTTGAAGTGCAGAATTCTAATTCACCTGCTAATATCTAAGAGAGTTCTGCCTAAAAATAATTACAGCTAACATCAATCATTATTCCAAAAGCAGTGTGTGAATTTTTAATAGAAAAGTATGGAGGAGGCCCAATAATTGAGAAGAATATTAAAACTTGTAGTGCTTGCATTGAATATGCTTAATAGATGAGTAGAAGAAGGAAATTAGAGAGACAATTAATAATGAAATATGAAAATTTACAAGGATACGACAGAATATATTTTGTCCATGAGGAATGGTTAAGAAAATGGCAAATTTATCTTTATAATTCAAAGTCAATTTTATAGAGAAATAGTTTATTTGGATATCCTCCTCCTGGAGAAATTACGAATTATTTATTATTGGATAAGGATTAGTAGATTATATAATAAAAAAAAGATGGCTAACATTTTCATATGATAACTGCACCAATATGGCATATATTATAAGAAATATATGGAGGAGGCAAGATATTTAATTAAAAATAGGTCCCACTATTTCCATTAATCCTCAATAACAACAATATTAACCGTTTAAATTATAATCGGATGATCTTCTTTAGATAAAAGAGTTTAAAAATTTATATCAAAGCTGTATCAATTAGTACAAACCAGAAATTTAACAATGATAAAAATGTTTATAAATCTTAAAGATTATTATTAATTAATTTTGAAAACATTATAAACATAAAAAAATATATTTATTAAATAATAAAACTAATTAACATTCTTTCAGTTAAAAAATTAAGAATTGTCATTAAAGCATACTAAAATTTTTTGATTTATAAATTAAAAGTAAAGATTATTGAAAAAGTATATATTATTAAATTTAATTTCTGTAATATTAAAAATTTACAATATAAAGTTCTAGTTTATTTAAGTATTTTAATATAGATAATAATATTATAATAATTACTATGAAAATTAGTATATATTTTAAAACTAATTCGTTCGATCTATTTGTTTTATGTATTGAATAAGCTATTGTTATCATGAGTTAGTTATCATTATTTATATATTTGATGCGTAATCATTTATTTTATTAAATCAAATAATTTCAGATAACCGTAAATAAATGGGAAATTGTTGTACAGGTGGAGGATCTGCCTTAGAAAAAAATGTGCAGATAGATTTAGGTTAACATATATCAGAGAAGTCTGCAAATTCAGATATTCTTAATAAGAAAGCTACAGTAATTTAAGGTATTTCTAAATCTAAAAAGTAAGCTCATTGTAGAGGTCATATAGCTAGAAAGAAAGTGAAAACAATATAAGAACAAGATAAAAGTGCAAAGAAGGAATCTTAAAATGATTCTAGTAAGCCAAAGAAATAGAATTAATATATGAATCCATAGAATAAAAAAGATGTCTTAGAACCTAAAGAAGAAAGTTATTAAAATAAAGTTGATTCAAATAATGTTCATGCTCCAAGTGAAAAATATAAAAAATTAGATAGAATGCCTGATTATTTGACAGCTAAAACTAAACAAGTATTTAAATTATTTAGGTTAGGTTTTAAGTCAAATCGAACCCTTTGTTTATGATTAGGACAAGGATGAATTTAAAGAATTACCATTTTTAGAACCATATGAGTTGGATGGAGGAAGTGTTTATAAAGGATAATGGAAGAATGGGTAAGTTCTTAATTTTATGTTAGACTTCGACATGGAAGAGGAACATAAATTTGGCAAGATGGATCAATTTATGAAGGATATTGGTACTAAAATGTTGCTTGTGGGAAGGGAAGATTGATTCATGCTGATGGAGACAAGTATGAAGGAGAATGGAAAAATGATAAAGCTCATGGATATGTAACAATACATATCATTTATATAGGGAAAATATGTGCATATGGATGGAGCTTAATATGTTGGATATTGGGAAGATGATAAATAAAATGGAAACGGTAAAGAAATATGGCCAGATGGAGCTTGTTATGAAGGATAGTATAAAAATGGAAAAAAGCATGGCAAAGGAACTTTTAAATGGGCTGATGGATCAATATATACTGGAGATTTTGATTAAAATAATATTCAAGGTTAAGGTGAATATTAATGGGAAGATGGTAGAATATATGTTGGAGAGTGGAAGAATAATAAAATGGATGGAAAAGGAGTAAATATTTAAATTATTATATAGGTTTTTACTTGGTTGGATGGTAGAAAATATGAAGGGGAGTATAAAGATGATAAGAAGCATGGTTATGGAGAATTTAAATGGCCTGATGGAAGAGTAATAAGAATAACCTTATTAAATTTAGATGTATAGAGGATAATGGGCCAATGGTAAACAACATGGTATTGGAATTTATATTGGTTCTTCGAAAATTGAAAAAGAAGGAGAATGGTAAGAAGGGAAAAGAATACGTTGGCTTAAGAAAGGAGGTTAACAAACTAGGGAGGAAGGAAATTGAAATTCACAAAGTTTATTATCAATTTTTATTGTTCAATCAACTTATATAAATGTAAATTTACAAATGCATGATTTATAATTCATTATTATGTATTGAAAAAGAAATTAACTAAAAAATGTTAGTAATTAAATAATTTTAATCAAATCTTATTACCCCCCTTTCAAATTCTTCTAATCAATTTCTTGATCTAATCTCTTTTGTGTAAATTATTTAATAATACAATATGAAAACAAATGAAAAAGATGAAATACTGTTGAGTAAAATTTAAACTGATACTGTTCAAAAAGAAAAGCTGAATCAATAAAATCAAGTATTATTTCTCACTAATCAAAGGAAAATCATGTTATCATAAGCATCTTGAGAAGTTAACAATAAACACAAATGCCTTCAATTTAAGCATCTCAAAGTGACTTCTTTATTAGATGTATGAAAATATTCATTTATTATATAGAAAGTTAATAAGAAAACATTGATTCTTAATTAGAAAATAATAAGAAGTTCTAAGAACAATCCTTATCGAATATTGATGGTCTATTATCAAAATCTCATTAACTTAAAAATAATACAGAATTANTACTAAAATGTTGCTTGTGGGAAGGGAAGATTGATTCATGCTGATGGAGACAAGTATGAAGGAGAATGGAAAAATGATAAAGCTCATGGATATGTAACAATACATATCATTTATATAGGGAAAATATGTGCATATGGATGGAGCTTAATATGTTGGATATTGGGAAGATGATAAATAAAATGGAAACGGTAAAGAAATATGGCCAGATGGAGCTTGTTATGAAGGATAGTATAAAAATGGAAAAAAGCATGGCAAAGGAACTTTTAAATGGGCTGATGGATCAATATATACTGGAGATTTTGATTAAAATAATATTCAAGGTTAAGGTGAATATTAATGGGAAGATGGTAGAATATATGTTGGAGAGTGGAAGAATAATAAAATGGATGGAAAAGGAGTAAATATTTAAATTATTATATAGGTTTTTACTTGGTTGGATGGTAGAAAATATGAAGGGGAGTATAAAGATGATAAGAAGCATGGTTATGGAGAATTTAAATGGCCTGATGGAAGAGTAATAAGAATAACCTTATTAAATTTAGATGTATAGAGGATAATGGGCCAATGGTAAACAACATGGTATTGGAATTTATATTGGTTCTTCGAAAATTGAAAAAGAAGGAGAATGGTAAGAAGGGAAAAGAATACGTTGGCTTAAGAAAGGAGGTTAACAAACTAGGGAGGAAGGAAATTGAAATTCACAAAGTTTATTATCAATTTTTATTGTTCAATCAACTTATATAAATGTAAATTTACAAATGCATGATTTATAATTCATTATTATGTATTGAAAAAGAAATTAACTAAAAAATGTTAGTAATTAAATAATTTTAATCAAATCTTATTACCCCCCTTTCAAATTCTTCTAATCAATTTCTTGATCTAATCTCTTTTGTGTAAATTATTTAATAATACAATATGAAAACAAATGAAAAAGATGAAATACTGTTGAGTAAAATTTAAACTGATACTGTTCAAAAAGAAAAGCTGAATCAATAAAATCAAGTATTATTTCTCACTAATCAAAGGAAAATCATGTTATCATAAGCATCTTGAGAAGTTAACAATAAACACAAATGCCTTCAATTTAAGCATCTCAAAGTGACTTCTTTATTAGATGTATGAAAATATTCATTTATTATATAGAAAGTTAATAAGAAAACATTGATTCTTAATTAGAAAATAATAAGAAGTTCTAAGAACAATCCTTATCGAATATTGATGGTCTATTATCAAAATCTCATTAACTTAAAAATAATACAGAATTACATAAATCCTCGTCATTCTCTTAAATATTTCCATTATTAGATGATAATTTGACATGTATTTCTTAAACTTCATCCTTGTAAATGATTATAATAATTTTCAGTATATCATTGGAAAAACAAAAATTGTCAATTCAAACAAATAAAAAAATTAAGAAACGAAAGAGCAGTACTGTTGGAGGTGCTAAAACTTAAATCAGTAGAAAACAGATTATTATAAAATGCAAAACTTAAAGAATACCAGATAAACTAATAGAATAGCCTACTTCCATTTAAAATGAACAATAGGAATTCGTTCCAGTTCCATCAATAGAAGCTATAATACACTAAGAAGCTATATTGAATGAAAATAGTATATATTCTTTTTATACTTTCTTTAGCACTCTAATTATAAAATTAATACTATATGCAGAATTTAATTGGATATTTAATGGGAACATTGAAAGACAATTTTATGGCTTAAATGTACTTAAACCATTTCTCTTAATTGTATGACAACCTATAAAAATCAAAATTAATTGTATGCCCATAAGAGTATACTTTGTCCAACTAAATTTAACCTTAAAAAAGTATCAAAGTATTATTAAATCAAGAAATGTAGAAAACCTTGATTATAGATTTAGATGAAACACTAGTACATTGTAATGAGTTTAGTTGTTTAAAGAGTGATTTTTTTATTCCAGTAATATTTAATGAGCAAATCTATTAGGTATGTATAATTTATATTATAGGTTGGAATAAGCATAAGACCATATGCATAACAATTCTTGAGGAATATGGCTAAGGATTATGAAATCATAATTTTTACAGCTTCAAATCCAGATTATGCGAACAAAATTATTGATTATTTAGATCCACAACATAATCTTGTATCATATAGATTGTTTCGTGATGATTGTATACAAATATCAAATAATTGTCACATAAAAGACTTACGAATTCTAAATAGAAATATGAAAGATATTGTTTTAGTAGATAACTCAGCTTACTCATTTGCTTTTTAAATTGAAAATGGGATACCAATAATACCTTATTTAGATGATAAAAATGATAAAGTATAAATTAAGTTAATTCTTCAATAGGAATTAGTACATTTGTAACATTATCTCCAGTATGTAAATCAATTTGATGATGTTCGTAATGAAAACAATAAGATATTTAATTTGAAAACAGTTCAAAATTGTGTTTCTATTGTCGAGGCTATTAAAAAGTTATAAGCCTCATTCTCAAAGTGACCAATTTTGTGAATAATAGCTATATAATTAATTAGTATTAAATATGTAAATTTAGGGATTCTAAACAAAAAATATATATATATATTCTTTATAATATGAAAAAAAATCAAATATTTACAAAAAGTATAAACATCATAAGAGATCATTAATAAGAATATAAGCCTTCTTAACATTCGGCATCAAAATCAAAATAAGAATAAGAATCAGATGAGGAGAATGGAAATATGTACTCGTCCTAAATAATGAAAAAGGATATTAGGAAATAGATTATTAAGATTAAGAATAATAATTATTAAGGAAATATGTAAATTCATTAATAATAACCAAAAAAGCAAGGTATTCTTAATATTACCAAAAGAGGTAAATATAAAAGATTATTATATTATTAGAATCAATATAATAAAATATATAGAAACCAAAAGGATCATTTCCAATATTTATTAGAAATCTAAAAGAAGGATCAACATCTAATGAATTAAAATAATTAATAAATGATGATTCCAATGTATTGGGAATATAGGTAATATATGTTAATTATTTAGATTAATAACAAATAAGCCACTATTACATTTTCAAATTAAGAATCTGCTGATTAAGCAATTGGTTTATAATTATATATATTTTATTAGAACTTATAAACAACTATAAAGAAAAAGGTTATTAAATGAGTGCTGTTCCAAATTATCAATAATCCAGTAAAGTCATTGTATTAGGGTAATTTTAATCAGGAAGAGGATTCAAAGAAGATGGTAGACTTAGAATGGATGCAAAAGAATCGATTTTTGATAGAATACAAACCAAAAAATAATGATACATTCTTTCTAGTTTAATTTATATGTATAAAATCAATGTTATTATCTGATGGCCAGATTATTCAATTTCAAATAGGTCAAATTTCAATATTATAATAATGAGTATTATATATATCTAAATATAAATAATACTATTTTACAAATATTTACATATATTTTAATTATGATATAATAGTAAAGATAGGTGTTGAATGATAATGATTTGCATACACTAATATATAAAGGCGAAATTGGTATCAATCAATTACTCATTTCTAGATTGTCAGGTATGCATTTATTGGATGTACTCTCTATTTCTAATTTCCACAGTCCTGATGCCACGATTAAAGAACATTTGTTTAAAACTGTTAAATAAAATTACAAATCAGATTAAGAATTTCCAAAACTAATTTAGAGATATGAATTAACACTTGCAATAATAGATAGTGAATTGCTTAATGAAAAAGTATTTATAATCACAAATTAATTTTTAGTAATATATTTCTCTATATGCAACCATCATGAAAACAAAGATTAAAGAATTCTTTACTAATTAAAAGAACTAACTATTTTGTAATGTTTATGTTCCCCCTAAATACACTAAAACTTTAAAGATATTTTGTTATAGTCCAAATTTGACAGGATATTTACCATTAGTTACAACAGATTAAATGAATAATTTAATTATAATGGAGGAAAAGACAGCATAGATAGATAATTAACAATAAATGAAATGTTATACATTTGATTAGATATTCTAAGATGTAAATAAATGTTCTAATAAACTATAGATTGTATTACCTTAAATAAATAATACTCCAGAAAAAGATCAGTAGAAACTTGTTAGAAGACACAAGAAATCATTATCAGAACATTAAATTTTTGATTTTTAAAGGGAATAAAAAGAATAATAAATGATCACTTAAATTTAATCTATTCCACAAGATAGAGCATGTAAATATATATATATATTTAATTTAGTGTTTTTTTCATAAACAAAATAACAAACTTTTATTTAAGATGATTATCAATTTCCATCATTAGATTAGATAAATTCATTTAAACCATTTTCTATTTAAGATGAAAAGAAAAAAATTGAATAGTCTTCATAATAAACTTCATTTAATATATAAAGATATGAAGATGGAATTCCAAATCTTGATGATCTAGAATTCTTTCCTCCTTTAGATTTATTATCAACTGCTAGTTGTCCTTCATTAAATAATAAATTATAAATGACAGACTAAAAGAAATAATCAACTAATCCAATTTATACTGGAAGACTTAAATTTTTTGATGAATAAAAGAATTATGGATTTATTGTTATGGATGAAGATAAATCAGATATATTTGTTCATTTAGATGATTTATAAAAGGCTGGAGTAACTAAAGAGACTTTAAAAACTTCAAAGTAAGGTTCATTGTTAAGGTAATAATCATCATAATAAAGAATAGATTTTAATTTAATTGTATGGTGTATGTTGGGAAATATAAAAAATCAAGAAAAGCTGTTGAATTGAAATTACTAGCTAATTAATAAGTTAATAACTTCAAAGAGATTATCTGATTGAATAATCAAAAATATAGGCTTAACAATAACATTATTTATTTTTAGAATCTATTCATAATTCTACATTAATATTTATTAAATAATCATTAACCTAAGAATTCATTTTCTCTATATTATATAAATATTCTCTTGACTTTATTATTAAATATATATAAAGACAATATGAAAATTACTCAGATATTATAGATAAATATAAATTATAGATTAATTTTAAGGAATATTAAAAAATAATCTAATGCAATTTAATTCTATTCTAAATGTACATATGTATTTTATTATAATACTGTAATTATCTCATTTAGCATTCTTCTTGGCTTCTTATTATTTTTTGAGCTAATTAGCATCAACAAAGACTATAGTCTTGCATCTCTTAATAACTTTCAACCACTTTAATTTACACTTGACACATTCAAGCCTATTCTCCAAAAATATCTATACTTTAAAGCCACTTTTTTAGTTGTCTTTGCCTTCTTTCTGAAAATTGGTTTTGTTTATCCACCATACCCAGATTGTTTCATATCGTACCTTCTTCTGCCTTAAGCAAATGGACTTTCCTTGCTCTTTTTGTATTGAGACACTTTGCAACTTTAATGGCTTCCACATTTTCTGCAATATGTTTTTCTGTTTTTAGGTACGTTCACCATTTAATATTTTTTAAATAAAATTTAATCATTTTTTAAATTACTTTAGAATAATAAGTTAATGCTAACTCAATATTCAATAATAAGATGACTCATTTTGTAATATTTCTATAATTATAATGAATAAATATTGTTAAGTTCATCAATTAATATCCTTTAATAAATTGTTTATTTCTTCAGCTGATTAATGTGAATGTTATGGTGTCAGAAATGTATAAAAATTGGATCTCTTTATAATAGGGATTTACTACTTAATTATCAGATTATCAGCTGATTTATTTCTAAAAAGCTAAAACATTATAAAAACACTAGTTCTTCATAAATTATTGAATCAATTATTGTAGAAATGAATGGTTAATTAGATTATTCTTTTTGAAATATTGAATCTGTCAATATAATTACATTGCGTTCTTATTATTACTTTTAAATCATTTTCTTATTGTTATGTTCATTCTTTCTAATTTTATGATCAACTAAAAGGCAAAATAAATTAAGCACACTAAGAAAATTTCAATCTACAGTTATTTAGATAATGATATTTCAAAATTATTTTGAAATTTAGAAATTTGCTCTATTAAAGTTTTCTTAACAGCAGTCCAATTAATAATTTCTGATTTCAAATGATTTTCTTAATTCATTTTATTGAACACCATTTTAATAAAGTACTAAATCTATTTTAATTTACTTTGTTAATTTAATTTCTTAAGTATTAATTGGTTAATCATATTTGTTCTAAGTAAAATTTGCTTTTTGGAAATACCAATCACATTTGAATTTAGTAATAAAATGAAAACAACTAATCTAATATTAAATTGAATATAAATTTAATAATAAATAAATTTTGAATATTCTCTCTATTAGATTTCAAGATAAATCTTAGGATCCTTTTGTCTATGATACTTAACATCATTATTATTATTATTTTTGTTGATAAATATTTTTAAAAGGAAATTCTAATTTATTAATTGAAAATGTTAATATTAGCATTATTTTTCATCTCAGTTTAACTAACATTAGGAAAGCTTAAAGTTATAGGTCCAGAAGAATTGAAATAAGAATTAGCTTAAAATAATGGAGAAATAGTATTTAGCATAGCAAATTTTGGGTAAATTATGAATATATAGACTAATATAGAAATGTTCCTTGGGGTCGTAGATTAAGTGGGACTCTTGATATTTCAAATCCTATAGAAGCTTGTACAGCAATTAATTAAACTGTAAAAAGTCACTTTGTACTAATTAAAAGAGGAGGTTGTTCTTTTGTGACAAAAGTTAGAAATGCATAGAATGCAGGATATTAATTAGCAATAATTGAAGATAATAAGGTAGAAATAATAGAAAACATTACTATGTCTGATGATGGGACAGGATATGGAGTATATATAATAATATATTTTAGTTATAAATCCCTAGCATTTTTATATCTAAATCAGATGGAGAGATTTTAACAAAATATTTAAAGATGCCAAAAGCCAATTCAGAAACAGATCAAGTTTAATTGCTTATTAAATTTGATGTTCGTTAATAGAAAAGTGTAGAAGCCTTATTTGCCTTATCAATTTTATCTGGAGAAACATATAAATTTTTAAGAGAATTTAGACCTTATTATGAAAAATTGAAAAATGAAGAATGTATATTTTCTTGGTTATATTGCTCTATTAGTTAACTTTACCATCTTGTATCCATTATATTAAATTATTCCCAATCCAGATAGACCAATTGATTATCAAAATTGTATATCTTATGGTAAATATTGCTCACCAGATCCAGATGGATTAGGTGTTGGTACTGGAAAAATGATAGTAGAAGAAACACTTAGATAATTATGTATATTTAATCAAAGTATAGACAAATGGTTTGATTATATGGTAAATATTATTATAAATTTAGTAATCATTCAGAGATAATTGTACTTCAGCATAATAATATGAAATTTGTTCTCCAAAGGTATAATTAGAAGTAGGTATTGAAAATTAAAAAGTTGAAAAATGTATAAGAGATTAGCAATCGACACTCTCTTTTGTATTAAGAAATGAAACTCATAATTACAAATAAAACAGTATTTTAGAAGATTAATTGACATTATGGAATACTGCTGGTGTATAATCATTGCCAGGAATCATAATAAATCATTAGGATTACTTAGGATAAATCACTGGAGCAAATGTTTTTCTTGATATTTGTTATAGTTTTGAGACTCCACCAGAATCTTGTGGTAATTATGTTGATGGATATATATTTTAAACAGATTCATCAACAAATCTATATTTGACTATAGCAATAATTATAATTGTTATGGTCATATTTTTTGTGTTACTATTTTGTGTTTATACAAAATTGATTCGAAAAGAATTTAAAGAAAGTAGTTAAGCATAAGTAAATGAAATGGTGACTCAATATATTCAATTTTATGAATCCAAAGATAAAAAAAGCAAAGAAGCTATATGAACATTTATATTTGTTTTTTTTAATAATAAAATCATTATTTTATTATCTTACTTATTTTTAAGAATGCTACATTTTACATAATTTATAAATATATATTTACAAAACATAAGAATTTTTTATTAATAAATAAAATTAGAATTAGTTTGTAAATAATTTATTAATAATATTAATGATGAAAGTAATTAGTAGAATGTCTTCATCAATTCTTAAGAAATAAGATGATATGATTCTTTTTGCTTATGATAATCAAGTTAAACAAGGTGAAGTATTAAAGTTTGGAAAGTCATTGGGAGTAGTCATGTCAATTTTTGAAAAAAATCAATTAGCATTATTGTTACAAAAATCAGAAGTATTAGAGCCAATTTAACATATTAATTCATTAAAGGCTTATCCTTAAAATAATGTTTGTACAATTGCAGACATAAAGGAATCAAATGAAAATAATACAGATAGCAAATTATTACCTAAAAGAGTACTTCCATAGAATTAAATTTTAACACATAATGTGTATATAGATCTCTTTCATCCAATAACGTATGGTCAAATGCTTATCATTAAAGATAAAGAGCTTTTAAAAAAGTTGAACGCTTTTGATTAAATTATTTATTATGGAAAGTCTCCTATTTAAACAGCTACTTGGTTTAAACATGCAGAAAGTTAAGGATCAAATTATTTTTTACCTAAATATGCATTAGAATATGCTAATTAAATAGCAAGATCTAATAAAACATTGTTAGTAATGGATCAAATTTATGATCATTTTGTTGCACATTAAAAATTACAAGAGACAATTTAGTCTTATCTTTATGAGAAAACCACTAAAACTGTGTACTTGTCAAATCTTTTAAAAGATCTTTCATAATCATGTGGTTATAGACCAGGACATAGTAATCTTACTGTTGCTGTTTTATAAAAAGATTCTAGAGATGATTTATTAAATGATGAATTGGAGAAAGAGGTATGATTTAAATATAATACAAAATTTTAGTTAGATTCATTATAATCACATACACCTTCAGCAACATTAGCTAAACCAAGTCCATTAAGTGTATAAATTCAAAGTCCTTTGTATTATCATTTAGCTCAAGAATTATATGATATTTTATCATAATACAATCAAAAAAAATCAGAATATATGTAGAAGCAATAATTAAAGATTCATATAGATCCTTGGGATTTTTATGAATATTTTGATTGCAAACCAATTGTTTAAATGATCAATTTATTCAACCAATAGAATAGTCAAGAACATGAGTTAGCAATCTTAGTAGATTTCTCAGTTAAAGCATTCAAACAAGAATTAATTTGTTAACTAAAAGGTATATATTAATGATTTATATTTAAGGTTCACCTAAAGAAGCTTTGAATGATCTTCTTGCATTTTCTTGTTCAATAAAAGAATTTGATAAAAAGACATTTGCTGAATTTTATTATGAAAAAAAAAATGAATTAGATGGAAATTAATTTAAGAGTTTAATTATTGAAAGTTTAGGAAGATTTTATGAATTATATATGATTCATTTAAGAATGACAGATTAATTGTTATAATACAAAAAGGATTACATTTGATTGAGTATTGGCATGTATTTTTATTAAGATGTAAAAATAAATTAAATTCATTTGAATTATGAAAACTATTATAAATTATTATAAATTTTTTAATTCTAAATTAAATTGTATAGATTAATCAATATAAAAAAGAATTTTATTGTTGTAAAATTATAAATTAATATATCAATTTATGATAAACATTTTTTTATTTTTTAAACTTTATTATATTAATTACAAATCAATATCTTTATACTGAATAATGTAAGAAAAGAAAAATTTAATTGAAAATAAAAAGTAACTTATGATTATAAATTTTATAACAATATCTTTTCATTAATAAGCAATTTAATTTTGGTTGATTGAAGTTGAAATAAGTCTTATTATTGAAACAAAAATAATATAAGATAAGTAGAATAAAACTAAAAAGACATTTTAAGAATTAAATTTGATATATATAATAGTGATACTATATTATTATTATGATCTTGCATAATTAGCTATTCACTTTTTTTCTCAATTCTTGACATGAGTGAAGTGATGAAATGTTTTAACAAATTCATCAACTTTATGAAATGGTCTAACTTCATTGACTGGTTTAGATTGATAAAGGATTCCTTAACCTTGCTTTTCAGAATAAAATGTTATAGGTTTTGCTGTTAGATATGATTCTTATGGTAAAATTCCTGCCAATTATTAATCAGTTGACAGTTGAGGTCTATCATATAGTAGATTAGTTGTGATACTTTTAATAAAATCCCATGTCACTTAACAAATCAACATCTTTTTTATCTGCATCTATTGCAGTTCCATTTTATGTTCTCATTACTCTTCTTCCAATAGTATTATTTTCTATTGGTTTCTAATAACATATATATTATGCTTACTTAAGTGAATTCTGATTTACATGTTGTTTCAAAATATCTCTATTATGTTTAACTGAAACTGTCTGCTTATCGAGATTCTAATTCAGACTATATTTATTATAGATATTATTATTCAATTAATTAAGCTTTCTTTCCAACTTTAGGTATTAAATCAGCCCTATTTACAGTACCTCCGACACTATTTATAAATAAATTAATTACTTTTGTGAAGCTGGTTTTGGAATATCAGGTTATATTTTACCAAATAATCTAGTTGTTGTATCTAGTTAATTTATTGGTTCCTTATAAAGTGGAATTTCTTCAGGAGGTTTTAACATCAAATCTGTATGCTTTTTCTTAATATGCTATGGAACAGGGGCTCTTCCATAACCAGTGTCTTCTTTTAATTGAGCTTCTTCATGCCAATTAGACATCAAAGTTCCAGATACAAAAGTGTTTGCTCCTTTAGCTCCACTACCTGTTGCTTATGTTTTATTGTAGCAATCTAATTTTGTTTAATTCATATTCATTATTTTGTAATAATAATTAAAAAAATAAATTTCATTATTGTTTTAAACCTAAATATTCTTTCTTTCTTCAACATATTATTTAGATTGAACCACTTTCACAATATCTTTCATCACGTAATCCTTTACAAAGTTTATCATATCATTCTATAATTATTTTAAATAATTATCATTATTCAGATCCTAGATTTCATTATTGATTACTCTTTAAAGATCATTCTTAAATTATACTCTAAATTCATTATCTAAACCTTTCTTAAAATAGCAAGAATATATTACTATATGTTTTCATAAAGAAATTGTATAATCACTATTTCTCAAACTTAGTTTTATCAATATTTACAATAAAAAGAAATTTTACAATTAATATGATAATCAATATAAAATAAACTATATTATTGATTCATAATAGATCTGAAATTAAGACAAATCAAATTATAATAACATGATAACTCAAATGAATATTGAATATTTATTTTGGAGTTAAAAGAATCCTAAGTTTAAATGAAAAATAGAAGAATACTCAAATTTTAAATAAAACAAAATTTTTATTGTTCATTATTGCTTGATTATTTTATGATTAAACTAAAATAGTTTATTTATTTAATGCAAAATACCTTAATAACAAGCACTTTATATTTTCCTAGATAATCATATTTTAACAAGTATAAAGGGTTGCTTGAAATCAAACAAAAGTAATATCTTAGTCCTGAGTAAAGAAGAATTAAGGAAAAGAAAGAAAAAAACAATTAAACATCTGATTTTGAGGATACCATATTAATTACTAATTCAGCAAAATTAATAGTACCATAAAGAATGATTACATATGAAAATTAAATTAATAATATAGAGGAACTATATTTCTAAAAAAATGATAGTTCAATCACTTAGAGATACTTAGCAAATTTTAAGATGTTAAAATCATAAAAATAAATTTTACCTTCTCTTCCTATCTAAAACAATATGTCTTAAATTAAACTTTAAACAAGATAGTTATTTGCAAAACCAATGATTAAAAAATAAAAAAGTCTTGATCATGTTGTTTAAATATGTTATTAGAATAAACATTTTACATAATTATAAGAAGGAGCAAGTTTAAAATGTTTATTCAAAGCTTCAGAATTAAAAGAAGAGGATTATGATAAAATTTTAATTATTTAATTTGAAAGTAATTATTAATCTATACGATAAGATGTTATATTAAAAAGATCATGTTCATTTTGGGAGAATTAGAATGAAGTCACTAATTGTAGTATTAGTTTAAGTTCAAACAATTAAGAATAATGTGAAAATGCTTTTTGTGTTTGTAATTTAAGAAGAGAATTTAAAAATACACTGAAAATGTACATCAATTATTTTAACAAAGATTGTCAAAGGCTTATATAATAATCTTCTTAGTTTAAAATACAAACTTTATGTTAAAATGGCACAAATATCTTTAAGATTAAAATTATTAATATGATGCAATATATAAAATTAGAATCACTAAAAATACTCGTATTGGTGGTATTTAAATGACTAGAGTTTTTAATGATTTCTAGAAATATAACTTATCTAAAATAATTTACTTTGATTCAATCGATATATCTAATTCTTTTAAATTACATCCAGAAGATTTATAGTATAAAATACCTATAGCAAATTGCAATATTGAAACTACAATATTTTTATTTAAAAAAAATTTATAATCAAAATAATTTGATTCATAATTGCTACATAATATATCTATGGCCTTTTATTCGGGAAAAGAACATATAATAAGCAAAAAATAGGTTTATTTTGAGAATATTGATTTACATTTTGTGTTTCAATATTATTCTTCTTAAAATTAATTTAGAAAGGCTAATTAATTAAGAAAACTTAATGAATTAAAATAAACTTATTAAAAAATATTAGAATCATTAAATGAATCTTAAATTATTTAATAAGAGAAAGATGAATATCTAATACAATGGATATCAGCAACACGAAATGATTTTATAAATGATTTTAAAATGAAAAAGAATGAAAGAGTCCCTTAATTTTATTTTACAATAGGAGACATTATTGTAAGAAATTAAAAACTAAAATGGCAGCATTTTCACTATAAAATTGAAAAAATGTAGAATAGATATGAACATGTCTGTAAATCGATATCTAAGATACATTAAGATCATGATTCTTTTGAAAGACACTAACATTCAATTAAAATTAATTGTATACTTTGTAATGAATGATATTTCTACATACTTTATCTATAATAATTCAATATAATTTTGATTTATTTTAAAAATTATTGAATATAAATTTTATTTCTTTTATAAACTTTTATATTTGGAAATAGAAAATAAGTTATACAAATTAAATCATATTATTACTATCTCTTAAATTACTTATTTATAATATTCAAAATCATTATGTTTTAGATTGTATATTCACTTTCCTATATTTTTTTATTTCTAATTTATCTATATTATAGAGATGTATATATGATTCTTATATTATTTTTTGTAACTTTTCAAAAAATTTAATGTTCGATATAACACTTTCTACTGAATTGATAAAATATGGAAGTTAAATATTTGAAACTCTCATTAATTAAGTTTGTTTATAGTAATTTTCATATATACAAAAAACTAAAGAACAGAAAATTAAGGGGAATTCTATAATAATAATCATAAACACAATAATAAAATATAATATTTTCATTAAAATGGTTACAAAATTATTATGAAAAAAGTAATTTTTCATTTAGAATTTATTTACTTTTGTAATTAATTCTTCTCTTTAATCTTTTAAATAAAAACAGAAGATTTCATTTTATATTAAATTCTTGATAAATTATAAAGATTTGATAATGAAATAAAAATAAATATTATTAAATAAAAAGATTAATAGTGATGATTTAAAATCAATTCTTGTGCTCAATCGTTTTCTTTATCAACGAAGTTTCCCTTAATAGTAGTGTTCTTTGCTTATCTAATACGATCAAAAAGAGTAAAATTAGTTTTAGTTCTTTTCATTTCTCTCATATCAAATTCCTGTTTTTTTTCATTTAATTTTTCATAATATACAGTAATTCTTTGAATAACAACATCAAGATTGAAATCAGGAAAATAGATTTTTGATGATCTTGCAACATCCATTTCCATTTCATAATGAACTCTAACTATGTCTTGGATTCTCTTTTAAATTCCATCTATAGATTGTCCAGCATGAACACTATTACTATCTCCTTAATTATCAAATTTATTATTAGATTCAACAACAGCTGAATTACTAGGGACTCCAGCTGTATATACACTTGAACTATATGCTTCATTATTTAGAAGACTTTTATCAACTTTTTTATTTGATTTATTATCAATTTCTGATCCTTAAAATAATTATAATAATTGTGTAGTTCTTCTTCTTTTTTTTCTTCTAGTAACTTCAACACTATAAATTTAAATATTAATAATATACTTGCTAGTTTTTTTAGAAATAATACTATTTTCTCTTGCTTCTATTCTTTATTTGATTTCCATTTCTTATGAACAAGAAGGAAGTGATTGATCGAAATTAGTTTCACTTCCTTTACTAACTTATTTTAATAAATGAATTGGTTTATTATCTAATTTATTTAAATATCAAATGAAACCTAGATTTTAATTTATAGCACTATCAAATTCTAACCAAGATACTTTTCTAATTCCAATTTAATTTTGATTTTTATTTATTTTGTTTTTGACTATTTTTAATTTACTATGTATAAAATTCTATGATCCCACATTAGCATTATGTATTTTAACTTCCTCTTATATCATTGATTCATCTAATAAATCAGTTGCTCCATTTTAATGAAATTTTCCTTTTATTTATTAGAGAGTCTTGCCTTTATCTATGCCTTACAATTTAATTCTATTAAGACTTCTTCTAAATTGACTTCCTTAATCCCAATCTATTACACTTTCCTAATAAATTATGTTAAGTATATATAGTTTTACATTTGTCATACTAGCTCTTTAACCATCCTTAAGAAAAATAGCAGTTTGATTTTAAGATTTTTGATCAGCTGGTAAAACAGTCTAGATTGAAGGTTATGGAACAGGTTATTATTATAGATTGTTATCGAATTAAGATAATACTTTTTAATCTTTGAACATAGAATTCTTTTTATTTTGAACTTATATTTATTGATCTTCATCTTTATCATTTAATTCAAAACCTAAATTAATTAGGTAAGCATCGTTTATTTCTCTTGAATATTAATATAAATTACTTTTCAGGTATGATATTGTTTAAAACTATATATCCCAAAGCTGCTTCTTAGACATCAGGTAGATTATTTTTCCAATTTTATTTTGGTAATGTTCTATATGGAAATGTAAGTCTTCTATTAGTTTTGATTGATGCAAAGGAACTAGCTATTTTATTTTTGTTTGGTTATAAAAATACAAATGGACATCTAATAATCTATAATATAGAATTACTGAATGAATCTATGAGTCCATCCACATATTTCACAAATTTAACCAAAAGCTTTGTAATTGCTATTAAAAATGAGATTATCTTTAACCATACTATATCTCTCAAATTCTTCTATATTTTCTTAAATAATTAAATAGAATTATTAAAAACTAAATAAAAAATAATTTAAATGTATATTACTCTACTACTAATAATTAAGTAAATTTAGTTGCTCTAGCATTGTATTCATAAGGTGTTTATGAAATGAATTCTCGTTCACCTATTACAGCTCTATAAATAATGTTATTACTAGGATTTACCCTTGTGTTATTTTCTTCAAGAAGGTTTCAGTATAAAAATGTTCATCCTCATCTATAAGCATTAGTGGACAATTTACTTTAATGGTCAGCAACATATTCAACTGCTCCAGATAGGACAAACCAAAGTGATTTAGGAGAATCATTCCTTTAGAATAATAATTATTCTGGATATAGCTTTGTTTCTTTAACTATTTGACATAATCTATGAATAGTTTCATCACTAAAATTCTCTCTTAAGAAGCGTGATTAAGTTAATGTTTTACTGTAAATATCTATAAGAACTTCTTCTCTTAGATGTTTTGTTAATTATTCAATAAATTATTCAGCATGTTAATCTTCTTCCTACTTAATTTTAAAGAAATACTCAAAATATTTTTTAACCTATATTATATTAACCTGAATACCTTTAATTATAAATTATAACTCATTCCTCTTTTTCTTATATGTTAATTGATTTCTCTTATCCTTTATTTATAAATAGCCTTTTTATCAGATATTTATTTAAAAATATTTCCTATATTGGAAAGACAATAACCAAAAACACCACAAATTAATAAAGTAACAACTATTACAAATATTCTTTCAACTGTTGTTACTGGAACTATATCACCATATCCTACTGTAACTGTAGTAATAACACTCCAATATAAAGAAATTATGTATCTATCAAACCAATAATAATCCATTGCATCAGGTGCATATTTAGTTAACCAAGTTAATTCTTCACCATAATTTTAATATTCTATCACTGCTACCCAATGCCATGCACAACCACAAAAATGTCCTGTTAACAAGAGAAAGAAGATTAATTTTAACAAATCCAAAAATACTTGCATATTATCCTTTTTCATAACTTTGATAATATTACTTCCAAATTTAAAACCTCTTCTATACTTGTCATCAATGGAGATAATCTAGTTAATCTCAACAATAATGTATATCTAACAAATGGAATATCCATGTATGATATTAAAAAAGGTATTATTACTATTAGATCCCAAAAGAAATTGCCTTTCACATAATGCTTTATTATCTATTTTCGATCTTCATGCATTAAACCTTTATCATAATAAGCAGTGTTGAAATTTAATAATATTTCTGCTATAAATATCCATGAAGGCAACAGATCAAAGAACCATTCAAATACACCTGATGATCTCACATCAAAACTTATATAAATAGGTATATAAAATATATTCACCACAATAAATAACAATAAAATAATATCCCAAACTATTTTGAATAAACTATCAGGTTTTATTACTTTAACATATTTACCAAAGAAAGCATTTATTGCTTCTAAAGAATTCAACAATTTTAGAGCTTTATTTTAAATTTAATCAAAGATAATTAAACTAATACTAGGTTTCTATTTAATTAATCTATTTATCAACATATATTCAAAATTTGCACTATTATCACAAATTACTTCAAATATTCTTTTAGTAATTAATCTGAATTTGATTCTTTCAGTCTTAGTTTTTAATTATTAAATAAAACGAGAAACTAATCTAATAATTATGAATGCTTTTTAAGTCCATACTTCATTTAAACTAAAATAATTAATCAAATCTATACCCAGTCTTCATTTCTTTGCTTCTACCTCTCTAAATCAAAGATTACTATTTTACTGTATCTCTATTAACTTAAGCTCTTTTTGTTCTTTCATTTTATTCTTATTCTTCTTCTAATTATTATACAAATGTCTAATATTTTGCTATTTTAGCATCTGATTTCAATCCTAAATTGATTGTTCCATTATTCTCAATTGGAGATGGTATTATAAAGTCGTCTTAATCAAATTTTTATTAAATTTAAATTGATTTGTTAGATTTATTTTATGTAGTCTTTACTGTTAAAGGCTTTTATATTTTTAAATTACAACTAATTGAACTTATAGAACCTTAAGGTTCACTTCTTTTACCACTTTCATATCAATACAAAATACCTTAAATTACTAATTAGACAATCCTCTTCATTTACATCTGCCTTATGACCTAAATTTATAGCTTATTTATGATTATTATCAAAAATATCTCTCTTTAATTTTAAAGCTTCCAACTATTATAATTAAGAAAATTCAAGAGTTGGATCTAATTTATAACCACCTATAGGACTTGGCTAATCAATATCAAATAATTGCCCTGATGAAATGTTATTACTCTGAATTCCACTTTCTAAATCTTAGAATCCAGCATCTCGATTAATCATTATTTTATATTATTAAAAAATAGTAATAATTTAGAATAATACTCTTTTTCACGGATCCTAATTTCTATTATCAAGGTAGAACTTCAATAAATCTGTTTAGATTAAGTTATATTCAATTAATTTTTAAATTTTCCCTCTAAATTGAATATCAGTAAAATATCTTTCTATTAATCCTTCAATATGTTCTCCAACAATTACTATTTATTAATCTTTTACAACATTTGAATTTTTTAATAAATATAACTAATTAGTATATTATAATTTTTACTAATTATGTAGTGATATGTTCATTCACTCTTCCTTAATTATTTGAATTCACCAACATTACTGCATATGATAAACAACCAGCAGATATCTCACTTTGATAATATTTACTCTATAATTCATAATCAAAACAACATAACTTTAATGTAAAATATGCTATTTCTATTATATCATTCTCTTTATCTTTGATCTTACTTAAATACAGTCTTAATAACAACGTTAAAAATAAAAAACCATTAGAAAAATTAAGTTAATGATCCAAACATTCAAAAATCTCTAATTCTTTCTTAAAAATCTTACTTCTACCTAATCTCTTATGGGATATGTCTATTGCTTAATCAATTTTTAATGGTTTGACATCATTAAATTTTGATGCCAAATAAATACAACTAATTCCAGTTAAATGGAGATTATATCTTGTAATACTATTATTATTTCAAATAACCATACTTTTGAGTTTTTTTTTAAAATTCATCTAAAATGGAACAAGCTATGAAAAAGGTAGAACAATTCATTTAATATGCATGTGTGATCTCAATTAACCAATTTAAAAATCTTATTCTTTCTTCATCATCAAAACCCTTGTCATCTTTATTTAAGAATTCAAATGGTTTTTATTATTTTCCTAAATAATTTTAAAGAACTAAATTATAAAATCCTTCAGTTTTCACATTCTTTTAAATAATCATGCTTAAATCTAGTTTGAAATCTAAAGGAGATAACATTTCTTCTGGATTTTCTACTTCCTTTATATTCTCTGACTCTGAAGACTTTTATTCTATTGCAGAAGCTAGTTCTTCCAATTTTGTGACTGTTAATACCTTTCCTGATCTAATTGATACTCCAGAAGTAAAATCAGATACTGACTCACTTGCAACACTAGAGGATGATTGTTTTGATTTCATTTATTTTATTTTTTTAAAGGCATTCAACCGCTCAATAATATAAATTTTATAATACAATATATAATTTTAAGTAACTAAATTTACTATAAAAAAAATCGAATTTTTTATTTCATTTTGAATTAAATGGTTCTTATAATATTGATATGATATTTGACTATTTATTTTAATCTAACGATAATATATAAATAATAGTAAATTATGATATTAAATATTAAATTACTAAACTATTTATACTATATACAATTAATTTTCTTACATAGGACATCATATTATGTATGATTATTTTAATTTCAATTATTTAATAATAAATTGTGATTTAGTTATTTATATTTTAGATGAATTAAAAAAATAAAATATCTCTTTCAAATAGGATAGAATCAGCATTCAGAGATTATCTTGCATATTTTTAATTTTTAATGTTGAGAGAAAACTTTGATGTCACTTTAAAGAACATATTATGGTTTCGATTTCTGTTTATAATTAATACTATACAAGCTGTTTAATTAATTAATGGTTAAAATGTGTAAATACTCATATTAAAAATAGCTTCATTTAAGAGATGTTAAGCAAATATAGAATAAATTTGTTAATTTATTTTGGAAACAGTAACTATTTGATTTTTGCTTACATCATTATTTTAAGCATTTTTTTTCATATAGCTATTACTTAAATTGTAATCAAAATGAAAATTTCAATTCATTAATTTATTGGTTCCTTTTTTGTTTAAACCATTTATTATGTATAGTCTATGCCAATTATTTTAAACTCCCTATATGCAATTTTGAATTAGAATCAATATGTTCATTTAATTTTGTTCATCTTAACTATTTTATTGAATATGATGTATATTAAATTTAACTGTTAAACAAGTTTTTTTTAGATTGATGGAAGCTTTTCAAGATAAATAGATGAAATTGTAATCTAGATATTTCGAATTATTTTATGCATATTAAAGATCAAATTACCAATAATTGAAATACAATTTTTAATATTACTCATAGAATCATTTTTGTTAACTGTAATTTAGATCAACAATACTGAATTGAATAGTCATTTTATTTTTAAATTAAGGATATTTCTTTTTTTAATTGGAATAGCAGGGATATTTAAATTAGATTGGGTTGAAATATTTTTAATTTATATGTTTACATTAAATGTTATGCAATCTTGGAAAAATAGACTTGAGACAAATAAATTAATTGATGCTAAAAATTAATATTAATTAAAATTTTTGATTTCTCAAATTGTTAAAAATTATTCAAATGATGAAACTATTTAAGTATTATTGTTATAAAGATGTATAAAATCAAATTTAAAATATTTACAAAAAAATAATAACTCTAATTTAATAAACATTTAAGATAGAGTAATGATAGAAAGATATTTTGAATAAAATTTATATAAACTCTATTTTCTATTGTTGTAATAAAATTAATCAAAGTTGTCATTTTTTGACTTAATTTTCTTGAAAGCTAATATTTATTTAATTTAATAAGAATGTTTTTAAAAATCAAAAAAATAATTATAAGATAACTCATAATTAGTTAGAGTTTTTGAATAATAAGAATCTAACTTTTAAATTTTAGAATAAGCAAATTTTACAAAATTAAATTTTTATTAAACTCTAATGAAACTTAATATTAATGAAGATTAATATTGTAAGATGATTAAAATTGAGTGTTTGAAATTTTGTAATATCATGTAACAATTAAAAAAAGATCTTGAGACTAGTATTGATATAAAAGCTTAAACTCTTAAAAATTCTAATTTAACTGATCTTAACACAATTTAAACTATTTAAAAATACTATTTTGTCTTTTATGGTGATTATTAGAAAGTATATGAAAAATCTTATTGTAGGCATTTCAAATTGGATAGAAAGCTAAAGAATTATCAGGATGGGATCGTAATCTAAATCTAAAGTTATAAAAAAGTAATAAAATGTTCATACTATTTTAGATTAAATCTTTCTTATTAAAGTTAGTTATTTATAAAAGAAATGGACAATTTTAAATTCAAAAATGAAATATTTAGTAGATTTTTTTAAAGATTAATATTTAGATAACATATTGGATTTATTTCCATCATTCTTAAGAGGATATTATCAATAATAATTGAATAAATATGTAGAAAATGAATTTGTAGATAAATATTAATTAAAGACCTATTTATTGAAAAATAATTATATAATTTCATGTCGAATCACATTTCATCATGAAATTTTAGATAATGATTTAATCATTAATAATATAATAGAAATTGATGATAAAAATAATTTTCTATTATTTGATTAATATGGCAAAATTTTAGGAATTTCAGATTTACTCTTCAATGAATTATAAAATCTTGATGAATATTATACATAAGAAATAACATTATAAACATTTTTAGACAAAGCAATGATATAATTTTATGTTCCTGAAATAGAATATTAAGTCCTATAACTTATTTCATCTTAGTAATATAATTAAATAGAATTTTAATCAACATTTCCAAAAAATATAAACCATAATGATTGTTTATAATTAAAAATAAATTTAAATATCAAAGATGAATCTCTAACTTAAATTAAAATGAATTCAATTTCTAATTGTCGAAAATAATTATAAGATGACAATTAAATTAAAAAAAATAAAAGAATAAATCTTTTAAATCCAAAATTTTCTATGCAGTTTGAATAAATTTAAGAATAATTAAGTTTAGAATAAAATGTATCATCTCATAAATTTGAATTAGAATATGTTGAATTAGATAATCTTAATTAAAATTATTTTATACTACATTTTTCAGACTTGGAATATCATTTGGAAAGTTAGGATAAGACTTTAAAATTAGAAACAAAAACAATTAAAAAAAATAATACTTTAGATAATAAAATTAACATGTCAATAATTGAATAAATAATAGAAAAAAAGGAGATATCAAAAAATTTAAAATTATAATTAATACTAATGATTATTCTAACTATTTATGTAGTTTGTACTATTTTTATTAATAAATAATCTGGATTAAATGAAATCAAATCATATTAATCTTCAATTAATTTCTTAATAAATCCTTAAGCCTTAACCTTCTCATATGCAGGGTCATTTCTTTTATAGTGGAATAGATATTGTGTATAAAATGGCTTATATAATCTCTCTTAATATATTGAATTTTAAAGGCAATAGAAATTAAATTATGCATTTACTTTATGGAGAGGTATACATGTTAATTATACATTAAATTTGAGTTAAAGGAGCAGAGAATTAGGGATGGAAATGGTTGATGTAATTGAATATGACAAAAACAATAATAAAATTATAACTAAAATGGATTTTTATTCATTTTATTCTATAACCAGAGAGAAAATGGTTAGAGTTTAAAAAAATACTAATTATTCAAATATCTCAACTCATGATTATTCTATATTTAAAGCTAATGGATTCATAAGATAAAATATAATGACTATTTTTAAATTTCATGATATTGTGATAAATGATGAAATAGAATATCTTAAACAAAAAGTAGAGTTCTCTTAAACTAATTTTTATTTGATAGAGATTATTTAGATATGTTGTGTAAATATTATTACTATAGCTCTAATGTATTTTATTTATAAAAATATCAAATTAAAAAATCAAATATTCACTTTATTATCTTTAATAGAGATCAATTCTATTAAAAATTAGATATAGTAAACAAAATTAAATAATTAATTTACAAATTATTCTTAAAAATCTATTACAAATTTGATTAAGAATGATGCAATTATGAATGAAAATTCTCAATTAAACAAAAATAATCATACTATCCAAAGATTATAAAATATTACATTTACATCTAAATTTCGATTACTTATACCAATTATTTTTATAATATTTTATGGTTCATAAATGATTGGAGCATATTATTATAGAGAATTTTATTATGACAATTATAAACATTCCTTATTAATGACTATGAATTATATAAAATTCAAGAAGTTATTTGATAGTTCAATCTTATTTGGAGAATTAATTAAAACAGAACATTTAATTCCATCCAATCCTTATCATTTAATTAATTAAACTGAAACTATAGAATTATATTTAATGTATGCTGATGATTCAAATGATTTATTTAATAAAATTCTTGATGATTTGGTTGTATCAGATTATTTTAATGATACAATGAAGAATCAAATATTAAATGCATTTAGAAAAGATTTGTGTTTGACATTTTAAAGGTTTCTAGTTTTTTGTAATACAACTTAGATAAAATTACCATATAAACTTAGTGATTCTTATCTAACAATCACTTAAGATGGTATAGGAGGAGTAGTTTAAAATTATAAAAAAATGGTTCAATAAGAATTTAATACAGAAAGGCAAACTTTATAATATTCGAAAAACAATACTCAATTTATTAATTCATAGATTCACTAGAATTTCTTTGTTTAATATGCTTAAGATATTTAATCATGTTTTTTCACTTGTTTTAGTTACTTCATCAATGAAAGTATTTATTTAAGCGATCTCTTTATTGAAGCCATGTCAGAATACTTTAATTTAACTGGAATAATGTAAATATCTATTAAAAAGTTAGCATCTTCCTATTGTATTTTATCTTCTCAGTTTTTTGGGTCATCTATCAATATTTTTAGATACACTAGATAAAATTTTTGTTAATCTTATTAGATCCAAAAGTAGTATAGAAAAAAGGGATTCATCAAATTTTAATGAAAATTATGAATTATATATGATTAAATATTGATATAAATACAATTAAGTTTTTATATTTACAAAATTCAAAATCTAAATTAATTAAATATAGAATTCACTTAAATCCAAATGATTTATGAAATTGCAGTACTAATAATATTCCTAAATCTCTCTACTCTAAAAATTATCAATTTACTCTGATATATATTTTTGTACTTTGAAACCTATTATTTTTTCTATTCTTAACCAAAGTATTTAAATTTAGTTTTATATAAAAAATAGGTTATAATAATAATTTATTTTGATAAATAAGTAAAA